AGCCAATTGAGGAGCTGGGAGTGTGGCTCAAGAAGTAAAATACTTACTAGGAAGCATAAAGGCCTAGAGTTCAATCCCCAGTAATGGAAGAGGGAAGGGGTAAATTAAAGCTAACTGTGATCTTTAAACTAAATTTGTTATAATTTTGACTTTTGACAATAGGACCTGCTCAACATGAGTCTTTGATATGCTAATGGCCTATCCATGAGAAAAACATGTTACCAACATATTTACAAACCTCAGCTACTTAGGAAACTGAGAGCAAAGGATCACAAATCAAGGCCAATCTGGGTAAAGTATGAGACTCTATTATGAAAATAGCTAACGTGCCAGGCGCTGGTGGCTCACGCCTATAATCCTTGCTACTCAGGAGGTTGAGATTTGAGGATTGTGGTTCAAAGCCAGCCCAGGGAAAGTCCGTGAAACTCTTATCTCCAATAAACCACCAGAAAACCAGAAGTGGCGCTGTGGCTCAAGCGGTAGAGGACTCGCCTTGAGCTGAGAGACAGCACCCAGGCCCAGAGTTCAAGCCCCAAGACCAACAAAAAAAAAAAAAGCTAATGTAAAAAGATCTTGGAGGCATGGAAAGCTCACAATTCAAACCTCAGAACTATGACCCTTCAAAAAAAAAAATTTCCATGAAGCACAGAAATCACTAAGAAACTGTAAGAGCAATATAGCACTATTGTGGATAGTTTGCCATATATCTAAGGTTATTAATCTACAAAGGTTGGAAAAAAATTTAAATACATTCTGACATACTTTGAAATGTTGGAATAAGAACCTTCAAAAACTGTTCCTTCATAAAAAGAAAGAAAAAAACAACCATCAAAATTGCAGCCTTTTGCTCCTACTTCCTGTGTATCAAGGGAGATGTTTCTTTTGTCCTACTTTTCTCTGTTTTGCTTTGCTTTAATAAATAATTGCTTAACTTAAAAACAACAACAACATGGCTGGGAATGTAGCTCAATGGTAGAATGCTTGCCTAGCATGCATGAAGCCCTGGGCTCGATTCCTCAGTACCACATAAACAGAAAAGGCCGGAAATGGCGCTGTGGGTAAAAGGGTACAGTGAGAGCCTTGAGCAAATGAAGCTCAGGGATAATGCCCAGGTCCTGAGTTCAAGCCCAGGACTGGTCAAACAACAACAACAACGATCTGCCAAAATCAACTTTTTCAGAACCCTGGAAATTAAGCAAAGGCTTTCAACAATCTTAAGTGTTTATATAAACTATTAAATAAAAGCAAAAATATACAGCTCATGCTAATAATTCTAGCTATTCAGAAGGCTGAGATATGAGGATGGATGTTCAAAACCAGTTCCAGTAGAAGTCCATAAGAATTTTATCTCCAATTAACCACCAAAACAACAGCAACAAAAATGTGAAAAAGTAGACCTAGCTACTTGGGAGACTGAGATCTAAAGCCAGCTAAGGAAAGAAAGTCTATGACTATTATCTCCAGTTAACCATGCAAAAAGCTGAAGTGGAGCTCTGGCTAACGTGAAAGGGTGCAAGCTTTGAGCAGAAAGAGCTCAGAGACAGTGCCAAGAGCCCTGAGTTTAAGATCTAGGACTGGAACCAAAACAAGAAAAAGCTAAAAGACAGCTCTCAGGCCTTGAGTTCAAGACTAAATACTGGCATGCATAAATACTTATTTTTAAAACTCAGTATCCTAAGACATTTATCAAAAGTAATCCATGGTAAAAATAGTGTAGTTGCTTGACACTGTAACATCGGATAGGGAAAAAAAAAAAAAAGATAGGCCAAAACCTTAAAAGGAAAAGCTGGAAAATGAGATGTCCAATGAAAACTTAGAAATATTCCAAAATCTAAGTGGTCAGACGTGACCAGGCAAGACCTGAAAAACTCCTAACCACTGTCCTCTGTGAGACCTTGGGAGACCTGGCCACTATATGTACAGGCAGGAAGGAAAGACTAAGACAGAACTGCCAACTACTAGAGGACCACAAGTGAACCCCAAGAAATATACAGAGCCCCTGTGCAAAGGCTGAAAGACATTATGGTTTGAAGAAGTGTGTGTTTTTGTGTGTGTGTGCACATGTGTGCATGTATGTGCATGTGTACGCCAGTCCTGGGGTTTAAATTCAGGGCCTGAGAACTGTCCCTGAGCTCTTTTGCTCAAGGCTAGTGCTCCACCACTTAAGCCACAGCCCTACTTCTGGCTTTTTGGTGTTTACTTAGAGATAAGAATCTCATGGACTTTCCTGCCCAGACTGGCTTTGAACCACAATCCTTGAATTTCAGCCTCCTGAGTAGCTAGGATTACATGCATGAGCCATCAGTACCTCTTTTTTTGTTAAGAGACCTTCCATTAGAGTTTCTAGAAGTCACTAGTCACTAGTCTTAGAACTGAGAAACCTTTTTTTTTTTGTCAGTCATGGGGCTTGAACTCTGGGCCTGGGCGCCGTTCTTCAGCTTTCAGCTCAAGGCTAGTGCTCTGCCACTTGAGCTACGTGTCACTTCCAGTTTTCTGAGTGGTTTATTGTAGATAAGAGTTTCACAGACTTTCCTGCCGGGGCTGACTGAACCTTGATTCTCAGATTCCAGCCTCCCGAGTAGCTAGGATTATAGGCATGGGCCACTGGTGCCTTAGCTTCAAAAGGATTTTTTTTTTTTTTTTGGGGGGGGGGGGGGGGAGTCCAGTCGTGGGGCCTGAACTCTGGGCCTGGGCACTGTCCCTCAGCTCTTCAGCTCAAGGCTAGCACTCTACCACTTGAGCCATAGCACCACTTCCGGCTTTTTTCTTTTTGCTTATGTGGTGCTGGGGAATCGAACCCAGGGCCTCAGGCATGCAAGGCAAGTGCTCTACCACTGAGCCACCTTCCCAGCCCCCAAAAGGATTTAATGACAAACATTTTTAAAGTATCAAAAGACACTGAAGCTTTGATACTTTATAACAACAGTCCAGCAAACTAATACAGTTACAAAATAGAGTAATATCAACAAATTTTTTTTTTTTTTAAAATCAGGCTGGATGCTGGTGGCTCACACCTTATAAGGCTAGCTACTCAGGAGGCTGAGATCTGAGGGTCACAGTTCAAAGCCATCCCAGGCCAGGAAGTCTGTGAGACTATCTCCAATAAACCACCAAAAAAGAAAGAAAGAAAAAAGCCAGAGTGGAGCTGTGGCCCAAGTGGTAGAACACTAACCTTGAGCAAAAAGAAGCTCAGGGACAGTGCCTGGGCTCCCATTCCCTAGTGCTAGGAATCAAAACCAGGGCCCTGGACATGCTAAGTCCCCAATCCCATGTTTATAATTTCAATATAAGCAGATAAAGCATTTTAAAAATCAAACAACCACTTCTGGTAATTCTCAAAAAAAAATCAGAATAGAAGGAAAATTCCCTCAGCCTGATAAAAACCCCACAGCTAAGTCAAGTGTCAGTAAACTTAAATACTTAGGAAGCTGAGATGTGAGTTCAAAGCCAACCCAAGAAGAAAAGTCTACAACACTCCATCTCCAATTAACTGGCAAAAAGCTGGGCTGGAAGCACAGATCAGTGGTAGTGTCAGTTGTGAGTAAAAAGCCAAGAAAGAGTGTGATATTCTTAACTCAAGCCCCAGTACCAGTATGCATGTACACACACACACACACACACACACACTCTCTCTCTCTCTCTCTCTCTCTCTCTCTCTCTCTCTCTCTCTCTCTCTCTCAGAACTGGCAAATATAAAATCAAAAAGCAGATTAGCAAATGATTTTAGGTTTCCTACTGGAGTGATGAAAATATTCTAAAATTACATGGTTGCAATGGATACACAAAACTGATTATACTAAACCCACACATTTGCATAGTTTAAAAAAACAAGTGTTGCCTGGAACTTGTGGCTCAGGCCGGTAAACCTAGCAATTCAGGAGACTGAGGATCTCAGTTTAAAGCCAGCCCAGGCAGGAAAATCTGTAAGATTCTTATCTCCAATAAACCACTAGAAAACCAGAAGTGGCACTGTGGCTCACGTGGTAGAGCGCTTGCCTTGAGCTGAAGAGGGACAGTGCCCAGGTACCCCACAACTGACCAAAACAAAACAAAACAAACTAGCCAAGGTAGGAAAATCCATGAGACTATAATCTCCAATTAACCACTAAAAAAAAAAAAAAAAAAAAAGGCTGGCTGGTGGCTCATACTTGTAATCCTAGCAACTCAGGAGGCTAAGATATGAGGATCATGGTTCAAAGCCAGCCGGGGCTCTGGAACAGTGGGCCCTGAGTTCAATCCCCACGACAAAAAAAAAAAATGCTGAAAGTGGTGCTGTGGCTTAAGTGATTACAGACACTTTAGCCTTGAGTGAAAAAGTTCAAGGACAGTGCCCAGGCCCTGAGTTCACCCAGGACTGACTGACACAAGGAAGTGGGGGGAGGAAAAGAGCAAGTGTTATTATATATAAATTAACTCCATAAAGCTGCCATTAAAAAAAATCCACTTGAAGTCAAGGTACCAATGGCTCACACCTATAATTCTAGGAAATTTGAGGATCACAGTTCAAAGTCAGCCGGAGCCAGGAAAGTCCGAGAGACACTTATCTCCAATTAACCACCAGAAAACTGGAAGTGGTGCTGTGTCTCAAGTGGTAGAGTGCTAACCTTGAGATGAAATGCTGAGGGATAGCTCACAAGCCCAGATTTCAATCCCCACGACCGAAAAAAAAAAAAAAATCCATTTGAAAATGTTTTAAATACTACTTAACATAAAGAACAACCTAAGTCTTAAAGATAAATGGTGACCTATATTTATAGTACTCACTAAATATTGCTTAACAAAAGTCTCCAAGAAGGATATATTTTTCCCTGTTTGCATAAAGACAATTAAGTTTCCTCTTTTATGAACTACCTGGAGGCCCTATAACTCAAGAATAATTCAATCCTTTGTACATAGCATGGAGGGCATAGGCACAGCTTGTAGACAGCTCTGGATTGGACCAACATGGTGAACACCTGCATCTGTTGCAGCTCCCAACAGGTTAAGACCACAACACTCACCTCCAGTTCTTCACTGTCTTTGGGCTTCTCCTCAGAGGTCTGTTTAACAAAGTCAGGTATGAGGATTTCCAGCGTGGCTCGAGCTACAAAAGAGAAAAGGCCTAAAATGAGGGCTCAAGTGAAGCCTTCTTCCCGGGGCTTTCGCTGAATAGGAAGACAGATGTGCTGCAGAATGAGCTGCATGTTGCTCTTACACCCACAGCTCAAAGGGGTGGGCAATGGCCCAGGGGCAGTGGCAGGACTTTCCAGGCACAATCAGAAGAGGACAAAAGAAAAATCACATCATGAGGAAGAGGAACCATAAGACACGTCATAGGAAATTTTACAGGCCATATTGAACTTACATATGTGAAATCCTAGTAGCTAATGAGGGAGGAGCTCAAATCTGTATTTTTAAGCAATCATGTTGGTGTGAAAAAAAATAGCTTGGCATAATCTAGACCCCACAGAGAAGCCTGAGAACAGGCATTCAGACTAGGACATATAGGCTATGACTATGTGAGCACGGAGAGGTGGCCAGATGTGAGATGTTATGGCAAGTGCGTGCAGGACATAGTATGAGGATATATACAAGTAGATGCTAGGCACTGCTGTGAGGAAAGAGTACACACATATCTAGGGCTGGCTCAGTCTGACCCAGCAGAGATTTGACTGTCAGCAAGCTATCCCAATAAAATAACAAATAAAAAAGACTTTCTAGAGCTGATGTTTAGAGAGTAGCTGGTTGAAGTCTGGACAGAGGAAGTCAGAACATGGGCAGAAGTCAATGACCCCGAACAACCCAGCCCCAGGACATTTCCACCCCGGGCCAAGTCCTATTCTGCAGGTTATCTGTTTGAAACCTAACACCCAAATTATTAAATTGAAAAACTCAGGCACAATCTCTCTAAAATAGATGGCAGGGCTGGGGTGTAGCTCAGCCGTAGAGCACTTGCCTAGCATACAAGAGACTCTGGGTACAAAACTCAGCACCTCAAAAATAAGTAAATAAATATTCATAAAATAGCAAGCTTTCCTGGTAACTAGAGTGGAGTGTGCAAGCTCAGGACAACCATGCAAAAGGACAGACTGTAAGCACAATGCAGAAAGGCTTCCCACTGTCCTCAGTATTTGCCATTAAAAGAAAGTAGCACAGAGGGATACTGATTGCCAAGACCATGTTCTCACTGCTCTGGAGACCCAATGAAAACTGTAAGAAAACTGACATGATTTTTGCTCTGCATAGAGCAGACCTACTCTGGGAAGCAACAGGTCAATGGGGAAAATCTCGAACAGACCTGACAGTGCATGGACCAGGGATATACCCAATACCACTCTGCAAAGTATTCCACTCCTCAGAAGAGCCTAACTAATGCTGATGCTGAGATAGAAGGCTTTGGTGAAAGAATGCCAACTACCTTACAGCTACACATGAAAACTGCAAGGACATTGTCCAAAAGCACAGTGAGTCTAAACTACAAAACACCAACTTCCTTAGAGATAAGTGCTCTCTTGTATGCAATGAGTTATGTCCTAATTTAGTTGGAAGAACTCAGCAATTATCTTCATGAATGTCAAAAACACTTGAGATGGTGACAGCATATCAATCCACCTCTTCTCTATTCTAGCATGTTCACATTTTGATCAGTTTAAAAATAAACCTTGCTGGGCGCTAGCAGCCCAGACCTGTAATCCTGACTACTGGGGAGGCTGAGATCTAAGGATCGTGGAACAAATCTAACCTGGGATAAAAGACAGCAAGACCCTTATCTCTAACCACCAAAAAGCCTAAAGTGGAACTGTGGGTCAAGTGGTAGAGCACTAGCTCTGAGCATAAAAGTAAAGGGACATGGGCTGGGAAGGTGGCTCAGTGGTAGAGCACTTACCTTGCATGCCTGAGGCCCTGGGTTTGATTCCTCAGCACCACATAAGCAAAAAGAAAAAAGCAGGAAGTGGCGCTGTGGTTCAAGTGGTAGAGCGCTAGCCTTGAGCTGAAGAGCTGAGGGACAGCGCCCAAGCCCAGGGTTCAGGCCCCATGACCGGACCCAATAAATAAATAAATAAATAAATAATAAAAGTCCAGGGACAGCACCCAGGCCTGAGTTCAAGCCCCAAGACCATCACCAAAAAAAAATAAAAATAAAAAAAATAAAACCACACATATACACACACATACCTGCCTCCACTGTATACATAGCACAGCAGCACAGCAGGCTGAGTACACTTGAATCTAGGAATAGCTAAGGCAAGAACAGGAGCCACTGACCCTGCTATTACTCAGAAGAAAAGTTCTACTCTAAAGTCTCATTCAGGACTTTACTCTCTTGACTTGGGTCTTTTCCAATAAGCCCATAATTTCTTTGTTTGGCAGAGTCTCATGCTTGTTAGGCAGTACTCTACTCCTAAGCTATACCTCCAGCCTTTTTTGCATTGGTTATTTTTGAGATAGGTCTGTCATTTTCCCTTGGCCCAGGTGTGGATTGACATTTGCCTGTTCTTTAGATGTGGGTGACAGGCACATGCACCATGTCCAGCTTCTTCCACTGAGATGGAATTTCACAGACTTTTTTCTTTTTACAGGACTAGCTTAAACTACAAACCTCAAGATCTCAGTCCACCAAGTAGCTAGAAACAAAAAGTCTGTTTTGTTTTACTAGTGCTAGGGATCAAACTCAGAGCCCTCCTCAGTGTTCTACCACTAAGTTACATTCCCAGCCCCTTGGCTGAGACAAAAGTCTCATTATATTGCCCAGCCTTGTCTCAAACACAAAATCTTTCCTCAGCCTCCTAACTGCTAATATTTCAATCACCACACACAGCTAAGAATGCAACTTTAAATCAAAGTAGATGATTACATAAATAAAATGGATGTGTCCCACCCATACCCTCCAAACTGCCGCCACTGCTCAACCCCTCTTTAACAAAGAGGCAAGGCAGACTTGGCAGGCAGCTTGTGTCTCTGAGACACCCAAGCAAGCCACATTACCAGCTTTATTCTTCGCAAGTTTTTTGCTGCTTGCAGTTCCAGATCCGTAAGTCACACCATCAATGGTCACCGAGGCACCAAAAGGCTCACTTGGATTCTCTTAAAATTAAAATTGCTTGTTTTAAAACACACTTGCCAAGACATTAAAAGCGTGCACACACAGTCTGCCCACACTGGCAGATGCCCCTGCAGAAAGAATGTCTATGCTCTTCTATAAAGACTGGGAGCTCCCTGAAGTGTGGAGACAGGGCTAAGGATAGTCAGCAATGAAAAAGGCACAGCTGGGAAATCTGAAGGAAATGGGGATCACGGGTGAGTGGGCCAGAGGAGAAGAAACTGGAGGCAAAACGTGCCCAGGACAGGGACATGGTCTCCAAAATACAACACAGGACTGTTGGGAGCTTGGAAGGACAGGATGCAATGAACCAGATAAATAACATCCAAAAGGGTAGGTGGGTGACCACAGGCTTTGGTTCTCAAAGTAGACAAACCGTCACTCACAAAGTTGTTGCCATGGAAGATAGCTAGAAGGAGTATGAACAGATCCAAGACACTTTCATTCACCTGGGGGAGACCAGGAAAGGACTCAATGCACAGCAAGGAGGCCTTCCTCACAAGTATGCCATTGATGACACACAGAAGCCAGCAAGGGACAAGAAAAGCAGAAGGGAGACAGGGGACAAACTCAAAGGAGCAAGCTGAGCTATTTGCCCTTAGATGAGACATATCTCAATGAAAACAAACTACTATCTGCAATACATTTCTCTTTGCCCTTCCCTTGTACTTCTATCCAGTCCAATAGAGCTAACAGTTCCCAAACCCAGCCCAGACAAAAGTGATTCTTTACAACCAAAAATAGGAAGACTGAACTTACCACATTCAAAGAAGTTATAAACAGGGCGGACCTTGAGGACACGCTGCATGTACTCGTGCAGGATACAGACCTCGGATTTCCCATTGGGATTAATGACAAACTCTGTGACAAGAAGAACCATCTTAGAAAAGGCATGAAAAGCTCCCACAAGCTAGCACTTGAGAACTTGACCCATTCACATTACCAAGTCATTCATTGGAGCTGACCACTGTGAATGTGGCAAGCCTATTCCTAGGATAAATATAAGCTTTGAATAAGTACAATTCACTCACTTACATATGCTAAGCACACCAAATTAAAATAGATCAGCCTGCTGATGTTGGCACTTACAAGCCCAACTCACCTTTCTTTGTGGGTGCATCCTGCACAGATAAGGTGATGAGCTTCTGGTTGGCTGGCAGAATGGGCCTCTCTGATTCAGCCTGCTTCCGCTTCATCTCACGGTTGAACTGTCGCCGCTCAGCCCAAGTCCTGAATTTTTTAACAGTTACTTGCTCAAAATCAAAACGCTTTTCCAGGTAGTTTCGAAATTCCTCCAGATCTGTCCAACATGCACCAGAAACCCAAATTATCAAACTTGCAACGTAAGACTCATGTTTCTTCAACCCGGTGTCTAAGACAGTAACATCCTCATCAAAGAGGTCCAGTCCACATGCGTTTTCCTTTCCCTGTCCCTTTCAAAGGGTAAAGGGGGAACAGGGATAGAAAAATTAAGTCCTTTCACTACCAGCTTAAATTATTCTGACATGATCCTCATGAATGAATGTTTGGTTCTTTTACCTTATCTGGAAGAAGAATAAAAAAAATGTTATGAGGGTTTAGGGGGAGGGAAACTTGATACTTGATGCTTGACACATGCTTATAACCCAGTATAAGAGGCAGGAGGATCCTGAGTTTGAGAACAGCCCAGGATAGAGAGAACTCATCTCAAAACACCAAATCAAACAACAACAACAAAAAAACCCATATCACCTTTAGGCTCTTCTCCCTGAAATAAAACAAACACCTGAGGAATGGGAGCATAGCTCAGTGGTAAAATACTTGCTGAGCATGTATGAGGTTCTAGGTTTGATTCCCACCCCACCCCCCAAAAAAATCCTGACACTTGCCAATGGCACATGAATGCCAACAGCAGCTGTTCACCTCTCTAGCTGACATTTCTACAATCAGAAATACTTAGTAATTGGCCCCAGCCTCCTTAGGGCCTTTGTGCTTATCATACTTCTCCCCTCACTACTCTCCACTCCTAGACAATAACTTTTTACCCCTCACAGCTCTTCCAGGACACCTCACATTGAATATTTATGACAAGCTAGGCAACAACAAAAAGTCAAGCATAACTCATAAAAACAGAATGTCCTCTTTGATACTGATCTAGCAGGAAGGCTGAAAATAGATCTGCCACCACCAAAGAGAGATCTGAGACTTGAAAGGATGGGACACAACTAAGCTACAAGAGAGGAAAGAGAAAACTGAGAAACACTAACACATATCCAAAAGGCAACTGCAGGATTCAAGAGGAAACTGACTAGTACTCAAAAGGCTGAAGGAGAATCACAAATTCATAACTTTACAAAGTTACAAAGTGAGACCTTGTTTCAAAAAGCCAAAAGATGACAGAGGAACTGTTCATAGGCTAGGGGAAGTTCCTTAGGGCTGGGTTTAGGGACTGACAGTTCATTCTGAGCTTATCAGAAAAAACAATACTCGGCACAAAGGAAGAACATGCAACAACCAAAAAAGACCAGGTACCACTGCTGTCACCATCTCCATGGCAGCTTCAACAATGCAGGCTCTATAAAGTTCCACATGCTGACCATAAGCAGGTTCTCAAAAGAGCAAGGCAACAAGCACTGTTCGCAATAGCTAGGATATGGAAACAACCTAGGTGCCCCACCACAGATGAATGGATCCAAAAATTGTGGTATCTATACACAATGGAATATTATGCAGCCATTAGAAATGACAAAATAATGGCATTTGCAGGGAAATGGATGGAGCTAGAAGGAATCATGTTGAGCGAGGTAAGCCAAGAACGAAGAGACAAACGGTACATGGTCTCCCTCATAAGTGGATGCTAAATCCAAAAGGTTAGTGATACGACAAAACTAACAGGACTTAAGAAACAAAGAACTCCCGCTCATCTGGTTGAACCACTACTAAATATCCTCATGCTGCTGATCACAAATATGGTATATAACATGTGAACAGTTATATATTACAGACTGTGGTAGACAATTTGCTCCAGGGAAGTTAGAATGAACTTGTGACTTTGAAATTATGTAATCATTTAATCACAATCAAAAAAAAAAAAAAAAAAAAAAAAGAACCTCGGGGAAGGGAGGGAGGGAGGGGATGGTAGGGGGAAAACAATGGAGGGGGTAACAATGTTCAAGAGGAAGTGTACTCATAACCTCACTCATGTAACTGTAACCCTCTGTATAGTAGCTTTACAATAAAAAATAAAAAAAGAGCAAGGCAACAGACCTCTCCAGCCATGTGGAAGTGCAAAACAGGCTTAGGTCTCCCCCCTACACAGGCACAATGAGGAACTGTAACTACAGCTCCTGACAGAAGGAGTGAGACCTCAGAGTAAATATGAAATGCAACTGGATCCTAGGAAGCAAGGAAGAAATCTTTCTGGGAAAACTTACCAACAGATTCATCTTTGCACACTTCAACTTTGGCTTTTACTTGTCCCAGGGCTCCAGGGGCTGCCTCGGCTCCCAGGGCATCTTTCTCATCTGGGGGCCCTGAGTCCACACCCACAGAATCTGTTTCTTCAAGGGGGAATTCCAACTCTGCTGATCGAACCAGGGGCTTGACAGGAGATACTTCTTCACTGGGAGTGAGCTCACTGCTTTGTTCTCGTTCTTCATTGTCCTTCATTTTTTTATAATGTAGACATGGGATGCTACTCAGAGGAGGATCGTGTTTCTGTGGATAGCAATATTGCAAGAGGGGTTACAAAGATGACCTTGAATCTAAAAAACCTGATGTCTTACATCAACCTCCACATGGCTATAGTGCAACAAGGGCAGCCTTGCATGCTTCAGTGTTAGAACTCAGAAGCCTAAGTTCATTACTGATGCCTTCCCTACCCGTATGCTTCCTGTTCCCAAGAAGTAGGGTCTGGACCAAGTGACCACCCGAGATTCTCTGTGCAGGTACACAGGAACTCCAGAATTATGGAAGGTCATGATCCACCCATCAGGCAACGGCTCTGTAGGGGGGCGGCCACGACCTGCATAGAAGAAAGAACATGTTGCAATTGGACAGTCACTATGTATTTTCTGCATATCAAACTGCTCCATGTTGGCTGTACTTACAAAGTGGGAACTCATACACGTAAAATAAGTTCACAAAGAACTTGGAATAAGAACGTACAAATTTCTACCACATCTAGAAAGTATTGTGAACACTGAGTACTAGCTACTCAGAAGGCTGAGATATGAGGATCAAGGTTTGAAGCCAGCCCAGGTAAGAAAGTCCTTGTGACTCACACACACAAAAAAAAGTAGAGCTGACTGACTATGGCTCAAGTGGTAGTGAACCAGCCTTAAATGAAAATGCCAACGGGTAAACCCTTGAGTTCAAGTTCTAGTACTCCACTTTCTATATGCACCAAAAGGAGAATATAGATATATGGCTCAAGTAATATAGTATCTAGCTGGCATGAAGCAAAATTCAACTCTCAACCCCTCTCATACCCAGAAAGACAATACTACCAAAGTTAGACACCACTGCCCCAGGCCTATAACCCTAGCTACTCAGGAGGCTGAAATCTAAGGACTGAGGTTCAAAGACAGCAAGGGCAGAAAAGTCAGAGACTATCTCCAACCAACAAAAGCCATACCAGAAGTGTGGCTCAAATGGTAAGGTATCAGCCAGGAGCATAAAAAGTAAAGTGAGAACTTGAATCTCTGAGTTCAAGCTTCAGTACCAATTTTTAAAAAGCCAGCCATACCTGTTATACTACCTACTCAGGAGGCTGAAATCTGAGGATTGCAGTTCAAAGCCAGCCTGAGCAGGAAAGTCCATGAAACTCAATTAACCGTGAAAGTCCATGAACGAGGGAGGGGGGAAGGCAGAAACAGAGCTGTGGCTCAAGTGGGTGAGCACTAGTCTTAAGCACTAGTCTTAAGCTCAAGTGGGTGAGCACTAGTCAAAAGCTCGACAGTGTGCCCAGGCCCTGAGTTCAAGTCCCAGGACCAGTGCACAAACACACACACCAGGCACCAGTGGCTCAGTACACACACACACACACACACACACACACACACACACACACACACACACACACACACACACACACACACACACACACACACACACACACACACACACACACACACACACACACACACACACACACACACACAGGCACCAGTGGCTCATGCCTGTAATCCTAGTTACTCAGGAGGCTGAGCTCTGAGAATCATCATTGGAGCCAGCCTGGGTACACAAATCCTAATTAACCAGCAAAATGTCAGAAGTGGAGACATGGCTCAAGTGGTAGATTGCCAGCCTTAAGCAAAAAATCCAAGCAAGAGCATGGACTCAATGCAAATCTTACAAAATTAAGAAAACTAACTGAAGGGTTCAGAAGGTTGGGGAAGAATGATGGAAGGGATGACATTGTATTATTCATAAACTGCTTTGTAAAAGTACTTAAAAATAATAAAAAATTTATTTTAAAAATAATAAAGAGCGGGGCGTTGGTGGCTCACACCTGTAATCTTAGCTGCTTAGGAGGCTGAGATCTGAGGGTCGAGGTTCAAAGCCAGCCTGGGCAGAAAAGTCTGTGAGGCTCTTATCTCCAGTGAACCACCAGAAAATTGGAAGTGGCACTGTGGCTCAAGTGGTAGAGAGCTCACCTTGAGCTGAAAAGCTGAGGGACAGCACCCAGGCTCAGAGTTCAGGCTCCACGACCGATAAAAATAAATAAATAAATAAAGAGTGTGAAGCTCTGAGTTTGAATCCTAGTGTCAACATACACATACACACACTCATACCATTACCAGGATGTGTAAGAACTAGTTTGATTCCTAGCAACAAAGTAGGAAATGGGGGGAGGGGGGGAGAAATCCATGTTCAAATTTTAAAATTTCTAGTCAGACACCAATGGCTCATGCATATAATCCTAGCTACTCAGGAGGCTGAGATCTAAGGATCACAATTCAAAGCCAGCCAAGGCAGGAAAGTCCATCAGTCTCTTATCTCCAATAAAGTATTGCCGGAAGTGGTGCTATGACTCAAGTGGTAGAGCACTTACCTTGAGCACAGAGCAGCTCAGGAACAGAGCCCAGGCCCTGCGTCCAAGCTCCAGAACAGGCACAAAAAAAATTTTTTTTTAAATTTAAACTTTTAGCCGGTGCCAGTGTCTCACACCTGTAATCCTAGCTACTCAGGAGGCTGAGATCTGAGGATCCTGGTTCAAAGCCAGCGGGCAGGAAAGTCCATGAGACTCTTATCTCCAATTAACCACCAGAAAACCAGAAGTGGTGCTGTGGCTCAAGTGGTAGAGTGCTATCCTTGACCTGAAGAACTCAGAGACAGTGCCCAGGCCCAGAGTTCAAGCCCCACGACCGACCAAAAAAAAAAAAAAAAAAAAAAAAGGAAATTAAAGTTCTATACTGGTTTCAAGACACTATTCAAAACTCCTTTCTTTGCTTTATAGGCAGTCATAAAACATCAGACTTTCTTTTCACTCACCACTAGCAGATGTAATTGCCAGAAAAAGCACAGACTTAAATACAACATTCTTACAGGTATTAGGAACAATTTAAAAATCAAGAAACTAGGAGAAAGCAAGTAAAACCTCAAACACTAAACACAATGAAAAAAGTGACAATAGTTCTCAGGAAAAGATAATGGTACCTCTGGGCCAGGTCCTTGTCCAACAGTCCTGACCCTGGGATTGGCATCCTGCCCAGGCAGCTGCTATCATAGAGCATGACCTAGGAAGGAGTCAGAAGTGTACCTCATGGATGCTCCCACACAGGTTAGGGCCAGGTGAAACCACCTCAGCACAAGCCTTCTGGTAACTCAGGAGAGGAAGCAAATAAGATGTAAAGCCAAACACAACATAGGACATAGGCTCATCCCAGCAACTCATCTGTATAAGCCAGCCCAGATATCTATCTATAAGAGCGATCCACAGCTGTGGGTACAAGGCCTTGTACTTGGCCTTGTACCCACAGCTGTGGGCCAAGATAGGTCTATTACTACCAGGTGGTTTGCACAGGATGGACATGGGTTTGTCTGCTCAGAAAAATTGTTAAAACAACAGGAAGAGTACAAATTTTCCACAGGCACGAGGTGAATCCCTCACCCCTTTTCTTGTCTCCCCATGAAGCTGCAGTGAGAGGTTCATCCCCTCTGCAACTGTCCAGACACTACTCATCTATCACCAATACAGGCAGTAACATGTACCACCTGACACTACTGACCCTCCACAGCCCAAGAAGGGCAACTGCAACTGCATTCTTCATACTTCCCTTTCTACGGAGTCCCACCTCACCACCTTTTGTACCTAGGCTCTCAGTACAAGGCCTTACCCAAGAGCCTGAATGCCATACATCTCTTCAGCTCCTCTACTGATCCTGACAACCAACCATATTGGAGTAATCATAGGTGCCAGGCAAGTACAGACAAAAACCAACACCAACTCTTCATTTGCTTCAGAATGACCAGAACCCTGTAACACAACTCTGAGTGTCTCCCAATTGCTCTCCCACTGTTGCCAAATCCAAGTGTCAAATCTCCTTTGCATTTCCAAAATGCCTCCATTTCTATCCAAGGAGTTTCTGCCTTGCCCCTAAATTGCATATGCCATGCTACTCAGAAGCCATACTTTTCTCAACAACACTGGTCTGATCCTAGCAGCTTCCTGAATCACTGTGAACAAAATAAAAACCAGGACTGCAGGCTGGGCACAGGTGGCTTACATCTGTATCATATCTACTTAGAAGGCTAAGATCTGAGGATCACACTTTAAGGCCAACACAAGTAGAAAAGTCAGTGTAGTGTGGCTCTTAGATATCCAATTAGAAGCCAAAAGCAGAGCTGTGGCTCAAGTGGTAGAGCACTAGCCTTGAGCAAAAAAGCTCAAGGACAGATAACACCCTGGTCCTGAGTTTATGCCCCAGGACTAACACCAGAAACAAAACAAAAAAAAACAAAAACAAAAAACTAGACTGCAACCATCACTGGCCAACTCACTAAACATTTACCTCTTAGACCCCATACCTCCTCTGGCTCTGGATGCTATCTCTTGGCATGCAATATTTCCCATTTGGTGATCCTCTGCAGAATGCCTGTGGTTTCCACAGCAGTTACCAGGATTTACACTGGGGTGTTTGAGTAAGTTCTTGTGTCCAACATTCTTTCATCTGTCATGACTATTCTGTATTTAAATATGAATCCCTACCCAGACCGCAGCATAAGACCAGAGCTTTCCAAACGTCTTTTCAAAGGAAATTACTTCTGTGTAAGTGTGTGTGCACTTGCACACATGCTGGTACTGAGGCTTGAACTCAGAGCCTAGATGCTGTCCCTTAGCTATTTTGCTCAAGGCTGGTGCTCTACCACTCGAGCCAAAGCACTACTTCCAGCTTTTTGGTGGCTAATGGGAGATACGAGTCTCATGGACTTTCCTGCCTGGGCCTGGCTTCAAACTAAGATCTTCAGATCTAAGTCCCCTGAGCAGTTAGGATTATAGGCATTAGCCATAGGCACCCAGCCTGAAACTGCCCTTCTGATGCCTGAAAACACTCACCACTTTGTGACCACTGACTTACTTTTAAGCACTGTTTTAATCTTAGTCATCATTGGCTGCACACTTGTCTCTCCATCAGATGGATGGTCACTGTCTCCTCCATATTTTTCTTCTATTCGCCTCTTTTTGGGAGCACAAAGGCCTTCTTCCAATAGAGCATCCACATCATTGTCAAAGTCATCCTGCAAAATAAGGTGTTCAGATCCCACAGCTCCCAGGGTCCATGTTCCTGCACCAAGTGCAAGCTTAACAACATTTGAGGACAGAGAGAAATCACTCAAGGGGGCCTAGGTATGCCCTGGTGGTAGGTGATCATCTGAAAGATAAACAGGGTGAAATGACAAGTGAAATCAACACACTTGGTCCAGGTGCACACCTTGCCAAGGAGGCTTCTCAGAAGCACCTGTTGACTCAAGTTAAAAAGAGAATATAAGGCTGCATGTTAGCCAAACCTTTCATTAAGAAACATTAAAAATGTGGACTTTGGACATTGTTCTCTTCTCCACATTTATTATTCAAAAAGAAGCAATTCAAATTGCTTCTTGTTTTGTTTTTAAATTTCCCGACTTTCAGCCACTCCCAAACCTCTTTGGTTTTTACTCAGAGCCCTCAAGAAGAGGGTTCACCAACATACCTCATAGGAGAAATTCAAGGCCTCTTCATCCACTCTTTCTCTTTGAACGATTGCTTTAGCCGTGAACCCGCCTGCTCCTTCTTCATCTAGCTCCAAATTGTCAGTAAAATCTTCTAACTCATCGAGCACTGCATACTCCACTCTCTTTTCCTGATCCAGCTCATTCTCCTCATCCTTCTTATCTGCACTCTCACCCCCTATGCCTACCCCATTACCAATACTCCCGCCAAAGGGACAAGCATGCACGTCCCCACTGACAGGACTAAGGAGCAGGCCACATTCGGCCCGAGTGCTGCGCTCTATTCCTGTGTACAGCACCTTCCTGTCCTTACTCCTGCAGCTCTCAGTAAAACTCACACTAATCTTTACATCTTTAAGCAACTTAAGGTCAGGGGAGAATTTCCGGACCGCAGGTGCGTGCCGGGCGGTGCGTGGGCTGTGGCCACTACAGTTCGGGTCTATGAGGAGGCGGCCCTTAGAGAAGGATCCTTTGGAGAGAAGAGAAGTTCCGTAGAAGTTGAATGGGTCCTCAGCAGGGGGTTCGGACTGTCCATCACCACCAGAGCCAACGTCCATTACCTCTGCATCACTGGACGTTTGCAGGGGAGGTGGTGGAGACTGTTCATGGGGCAGCACTTGGAAGGGGCAAGCTCTGTTCTCCTTCATCGCTTCTCCTGCGGGCTCACGCGGGAGAGGAGAGGGACTCTCATATGTCTCCATATTAAAAGCAGTTAAGACTATTTTAAAAGACCAGTTTTAAAACACCTTACATAAATCTACAGCTAACATGCACAAGTCCGTCGAGACCCGGTGCCGTCCTGCCCACGCTGTGCACACTGGCGGCTTAGTCAAGCTGGCCACATTGCTCTTTTCATTAATGTAGACAGCTTTTAGAACCACTGCCTCAATTATTGGAAATCACAATGCACTCAGCTTAAAAGACCGACGACTAAGTGAGTCTGTCTTCATGCCAAAGTGGCACCTTTCTTCTTCCACCTGAAAAGAAATTTAAAAATATCGTCACGAAATGACAGAGAATCTACTCCCCTGGTACCAAGAGTCAAGTGCCAGTAACAGTGCAGTACAGAGCTAAATTAATACTGCCTGTGAGAGTACCTTTAAGACATTCAAATAAATTTATTTTACTGTTTTCCTTCAGAACTGAAATTAGACTTTAAATCCTAACCTAAATGTTTTACTAACTGTTCAGTTTCAAACTACTTTAAAAGCACAAAAATATGATTTTAAGGCTGAAAAAAAGATTTTTTTTTTAAAAACACAAAAACTATAAACTTCACTGCAGCACTCCCCTAACTCAGCCTATATGAGGTAAGGAAGCATTGGTGGGAGGCTGAACACCAATAAAGGGAGTGGCTTTGCTCAAGCCATCTGGGCAACATCAATCTACTCATCTGCAAGAGCTGGGATAGTCAGAGGTCAAACACAAAACCCTCAGCTCTAGGGACCTTAGAGGTATGGCCAGGCACTCTGCTATCCAGAGGACCCCTCTCCTGAGCCCACAACATGGCATACTGACATGACAGCTGAGGTCAACAGAAGTGACAGCACAGTTCTGCTCCCAATAGAGAAAAAGGGGTGGCCATTGAAAAGGGTGCCTGCTATTTAGAAGGGAGCACAGGAGAAAGCTGGAGCCAAGGCACAAAGAATCTAGGGTACCATTTAGCTCTAGACTGGGGAAAATAATGAGCCACCAAGGGTACAGCAATGTTCATCAAAAAGGAAACTGGCACAGCTGTGATGGTACCCAGGTGACTGTACCCAGGTGTTGGGGCAGTCCACTAGGACAGGGTATGAAAATGGCTCTGGAGACATCAAGAGCAGTGTCATAAAACTGACCACACTTGTTGACCCAAGTGGAAAGCAGACAGAAGAGGAAGCTGGAAAGGAGGCAGGCTTCTCCCCTGGAGGGACATAAACACTCCAGTATCCAAGTGGAAGGAAGCCTGGAGAGGCAGAATGATGGGAAGTTCCCAGCAGACCTCTGATAGGTGCTAACGCCCAACTCTGGAGTCCTAATTGGTGTAGAGATCTGGTACAGCAGATTACATTGACAAGGAGGAAAACATCAAAACCACAGGAGGCAAGTAACCAGAGATGGAAGGATGCAACACTAGGAAGCTTCACTATAGAGGAAGCAAAAAAAAAAAAAAAAAAATTAAAAGGAGGGGGATGATATAAGGCAGAGAAGGCAGATCAGAGGGAATGGTCAAAAAACTCAGAGGTCCTTAGGAAGAGGGGCTGTCAGTAGCAGAAACACATGCATGCACACACACACACACACACACACACACACACACATGCACACTCCCACATAATGCACAGAAACACCCACATGCACATGCCATGCACACAGATGCAGATAATACACAGGCATGGCCATTCCCATGGATAATAGCTTGGATGCATGTTCGTAACTCCTAAGAATCCAGAAAGGAGAGCAGACATCACCTGTTTAAGAAGTTTACAGTGAAGCAATGGAATGTGGTGGTTGTAATTTGAAGAAGTCACAAAACAAAAGCCAGAGACTTGTTTAGGTTAAATTAACTCACATATTCTCACAGCCTGGATACAACCAGAGAGGGCAATGACCTTCTATCACTCTTTCCTAGATGCTAGAAATATTCTAACATTTCTAAATTCAAAGGGAACAGATACCTCCCCCTGAAGGTTTGTCAAAGGTGCTTAAGCCTGAGAAAGCACAGCATAGAAATAAGTGACTGAGGGGCTGGGAAGGTGGCTCAGTGGTAGAGCGCTTGCCTTGCATGCATGAGGCCCTGGGTTTGATTCCTCAGCACCACCTAAGCAGAAAAAGCCAGAAGTGGCTCTGTGGCTCAAGTGGTAGAGTGATAGCCGTGAGCTGAAGAACTCAGGGACAACACCCAGGCCCAGAGTTCAGGCCCCCACGACTGACAAAAAAAAAAAGATGTGACTGAGAAGAGCAGCAATTTCTAAAACGGCTGTAGCCAGGTAGATACAAAGCACATCAAGGCAGTAAGGTCAACCTCCTGACAACCAAGAAAGACCACTGCATGCTTAGTGCTATATACCCTGAATAAGACTAGGACAGGATGCCTCAGAATCTGGCAGGTGTGCAAATGTCTAGACAATATTTTTTTTTTATTCTAGGGCAGAAAAAGCTAAAGAATACTTAAGGTGGGAATTGGAAACAAAACCCTGCTGTAAGATGGGGAAGCCTACTGCGTGCTAAAAGCTAAGAAACAGCCAGTGCAAAACCACAAACCAAACATGTAAAGGTGCTAAAGGGTGCTTTAAGAGGCAAGCAGCATAGGTAGGGTGCAGGATCCCTAAGAAGGGAACAGGAAAGTTGTCTAATCCTGGGGCTCCACAGTGGGGCTATTCTATTCCTGTATACAGCTTTCTCATTTTATTCAACAAGCATTTGTTCACTACCTTTATACAGCACATACACCACTTTAGGGGTTGAACACAAGAGCTCAAGTTTTAGTGGAGAAGACCAAGTAACAACTAAGAAAAAGTATTTACTGTATCATATGCTGAGAAGTGAGAAGTGTTAAAGCTAAGACAAAGAAGCAAAAAGGTTGGGGGAGACGGGCGGGAGCTTTCAAAAGGGTTGGAGTAAGCCTTATAGCCAGTGTCTACACTTCAAGACAAAGGAGCCAGCTCAGTAGCAGAGATAGGAGAGCACATGCTAGGTGACACCTACAGGAAAAGCCAAGGATCTAGGGAAGAGGGGTGGAATAGCCAGCCAAGTTAGAGTAGTATACTGAGGAGAAGTGAAAGCAGGCCAAGTTAGGAACATTTGGGCTTTTCAGGCAGGCCACAGGCTGAAGGGTCCCAACACTGACATCATATGATACAAGGATAGCAGTGGTAGATAATCCTCACACAGACCCTGCTCTAAATACCCTTGGCACTGTAACTCACCCAATTCTCACAGAACACTGTGAGAGAAAGGGTAAGTACAGAAAGGTTAAATGACTTGCTCAAGGTCATACAGGAAGTGACACACCCGCTTTGTCACCCAAACAAGATGGCCTGTGTCTGTACCAACTCAGTTTTATACTACCTCACAATTTAAAGAATTACTGGTTTAAAAAGAAAATCACTATATAGGTGAGGGCAAAAAGTGTTAAAATGCTCACCAGATAATTTGGAGCAGGATGTTAAGTTGGAAGTGCTGAGAAATAGTCTGTTGAAAACATTAAGTGAGCTAACAGAGCTTCCTAGGAATGAATGCATGATGGCTTAAGAAAGGAATCAATAGGACTTTAGCAAGTTGTGATGGTGCATGCCTATAATCCAGCTACTTAGGAGGCAGAAACTGGAGAATTAGTTCCAAGTCAGTCCAGGCAAAAGGTAATGGGACCCTGTCTCAAAAATGAGCCTGGGCATCAGTGTCTCACGCGTGTAATCCTAGCTACTCAGAAGGCTAAGATCTGAGAATCATGGTTCAAAGCAAGCCCAGGCAGAAAAGTCCATGAGACTCTTATCTCCAATTAATCACAGAAAAGCCAGAAGTGGTGCTGTGGCTCAAGTGATAAAGAGCTCATCCTGGGCACAGAGGCTCAGGGACACTGCCCAGACCCTTAGTTCAAGCCCCACAACCAACCTTCCCCTTCCCCCCTCCCCCAAAAAAAAGGAAAACCAGACACTGGTGATTCACTCCTGTAATCCTAGTCAATGAGGAGGGTTAAATCTGAGGATCCTAGACAGGAAAAGTCCAAGAGACTCGCCTTCAACTAACCTGCACAAAACCCTAAGTGGAGCTGTGGCTGAGTGTCATAGTGTGTGAAACAATGTTAGCTTTGAGTACAAAAGCTAAGGGACAGTACCCAGGGCCTGACTTCAAGCCTCACCACCATCGCCCCCAAAAAGGAAAAAAATGAAAACAAAAGGAGTGGGGTGCATGGCATAAAGTGGTAGAGAAATTATTAGCATGACGCTCAAAAAAAAAGGCTGAAATTCAAAGGTACAGGAGAAAGACTTGAATTCAGTTTGGACAGGTCTATTTGGCATCAAAGTAACATGTTGCAACGTGGAAGAGACAACAAGTCTCAAACGCTCAGAGGGGAGGCCAGGGCTGGATGTAAATGTAGTCAAGTAGGCATTAAAGCCAAAAGGTGAGATAAAGGCACATGGGAGAGGAGCTATGCGAGAGAAGGCAAAAACTGGGCAAGTCAAAATCATTTTTTCCACCCCAAGATCAGAGAGACTATAAAACCATCCTCTGAACCATACCTGGCCATGCAGAATTCAAAATGGGTGGCCCTCCTGCTGCTTCATCTGACTTAACAATGGACAAAAACCTTGCACAGACAATTGGACCATGAACTAGCAGCAGCATCTCTTGGACCCTGGCACTAGGGTAAACCCAATACACTTACTAGGCTGGCACTGGACCACAGCTGTGGCATCCAATACCCTGGCTGAAGCCCTTCACTCAGCAGCTGCAGTCTCCCGCCCAACCCAGCGGCAGTATGACCTCATCCATTCCTTTTGTCATCTTCCAACCAGCCTCTCTCTACTCCTGTACTCACAAGCGGACCTCGGTAAGCACTCGAACAGGCCATTTGGTGACTGGTGAGTTGTGGTGGGTTTTGTGCTCACAACTGGGAGTCCAGTCTTGGCCATCAAAGAGAGGGACCTCGACTACGGATTGGCCTCTTAAGAGTCAAAAGCCCTACATGGGACTGCTGGCATCGTGTTACCAGATACATGCAAGCATGCAGAAACGGCAACTCAGTTCCTACCATGCGCAACCTCAAGTCCATGGGGTGATATTACTTGACAGGTATCACTGTCAACAGGTTGCCAAGTTACATTTATTTCTACCACGCTTATTGTTAAAAAGAAAACCGCATCCTGAATATCTATGTGACACTCCATGTGCATTTGGAGGAGACTTAAGACGATTTCTCAGATTTTCCACTGCCAAACCAGGTAGTCCTCGGCGAGCACAGTTCCCAGTCCACACCTTTCCCGCCTGAAGGCAATGCTATGGCTTCGGGCCTGCCGGGCGAAGAGCCTCTTTAGGCCGCAACCCGCATCGGCGATGCGAGGGCTCAGAGCCCGTCCCCTGAACCCTCAGTCCCGCCCCCAGTTCCAGCCCAGCCCGAGCCCAGGCCCGGGCCCCCGCCCCCAGCCAGACGCCAGTCCAGTGCTCTCTGCTCCCTCAGCCACCTGCGGCCATGTTGCCCACAAAAGCCAAGACTCCGCGTGGCCTCCTGCCCCCGGCCCCGCCCCACCCCGCCCCAGCCCAGGCCCAAGGCCTCGGTCTGGGAGGGAGGAGGGAAGAAGAAAGAGGAAGCGAAGGGCGCGCCCTCGCGCAGGCCGCGGGCGCCAGTCCGCCCGCGGGGCGCCCCTCGCGCCCCGCACTTACCTGCGGCGCCCTCGGCCTGCCAGAGCCGCCTGCAGCCCGACCTCAGCAGGAAGACCCTCACCGCCCTGCCGACACCGCCATCTAGAAAGGCCGCCCAGGCTCTCCGGTCCGCGAGACCTGCCTGCCGCGCCGGGCGAGCGGAAGGCGGGCCTTCGCGGTGCGCGACCAATCTCCGCGCGCGGCCGCCTCGCATTGGGGGAGCCCAGGAGCGGGTTGCTGAGGCCACCTATTGACGGCGTGCGGTGCGCGCGGCAGTGGCGCGCGGCCCTATAGTGCGGCTCTGGGGGCGGGACCAGGGACTGGGGCCGCCGCAGGGCTAACCGTTACTGCCAGGGAGGGGCTCCAGCGGAAGGCAGCGGCGCAGGGGACGCTGGGAGGGAGGGAAGAACGCGGAGGATGCCGGGAGCCCGGGAGCGCGGGAAGTGCTGAGGACGCCGGGATGAGGGTCACCAGCTAGCTGGCTTCGCCCTGCTCACATAGACATTTTTCAGTCTCCAATTAAAAGTATTAGTTGGGCTCACATAAATGCTTTTTAAAAATCAAATACGCTCAGCTAAGCTAATACTCTTCCATTTACTAATGGTACTGCAATTATTGCAAAAACCCTGTTCAGGAAGTTCCAGTGGACTACAGGCTCAGCTACCGATCTGGGAAAATCAAATTGCTGAACAGTGATGAAAGCATAAATTCAGCTTCATTAACAATGTGATCACACCAGTCTGTTTTCAAAGTGCTCACAATAATTGTCTCAGTGTAGAAGACAAAGGCAGGGGCTGAGGCAGGAGGATGTTCAATAGTAGTCCAGGTTATCTTTGCTTGTCTGTGGTCTGGTTGGTTACTACCTGGTATCTGCCAAAGATATGGTTGTGCACATTGATGAAAGTGAACTAAGCAACTCAAGGGCAACAATGGGAGGGAGGAAATGAGAAAGAGGGAACAGCTTACACTAAGCAAAAGGAAAGAAATATACATATCAACCTATTTGGAGGAAATAGTTGTATTGTCAAAGTTTGTAGAGTTCACAAGCTTTATAGATCATGATAATGGCAATTCCCTTTGTGAAGATTAAAATGTGTGACTTTAGCTAAGTATCACTATCTCACAATATTGTGGTTTATGTAATCACTTAATCTCAATAAAAGAATTTTTTTTTTCTTTTTGCTTATGTGGTGCTGAGGAATCGAACCCAGGGCTTGCAAGGCAAGCGCTCTACCACTGAGCCACCTTCCCAGCCCCAAGAAATTTTTTTAAAAAAGGTTTCTGTTGCTTTGGAGATAGCTTGACTCCTTTGTAAGATGTTCATCAGTCAAAACCAGGCTAAGAGCTAACTGTAGGAGAGACAGACTCAGGAGAACCTAAAGGAAATGAAACCTAGTAAGAAACCAAAGTTAGGCCAGTGACTAGGCCTTCCAAATCCTGTCAAGTTACCATTACATTTCACTAATTTTATTACACTAATTTGAAATCTGGAACCTCAAAAAAGTACAATGGAGAAGAGTCAACTCTTTAGTATTCCAGTAAATTCAGAGGGAACAATGGAAATAAGCTGATTGAGCAGAAAGCTGAACAATTGCTGCTGGACACACAAAATAAGTAGGGTACCAGTAGCTCAAGCCTATAATCCTAGCTACTCAGGAGGCTGAGTTATGAGGATCAAAGTTTGAAGCAGCTCAAGCAGACAAATATGAGGGACTCTTTTTGTTTGTTTGGTTTTTTTTTTGGGGGGGGGGGAGTCCAGTCGGGGGCCTGAACTCTGGGCCTGGGCGCTGTCCCTCAGCTCTTCAGCTCAAGGCTACTGCTCTACCACTTGAACCACAGCGCCACTTCCGACTTTTTTCTTTTTGCTTATGTGGTTCTGAGGAATCGAACCCAGGGCCTCAGAGGCATGCAAGGCAAGCACTCTACCACTGAGCCACCTTCCCAGCCCTGTGAGGGACTCTTAACCATAATTAACCACTTAAAAAAGGAAGTGAAGATGTGGCTGAAGTGTTAGAGCACAAATCTTGGACAAGATCATTAAAGAACAGCACCCAGGCCCTAAGTTCAAGCAGTACCAGCAAAATAATAATGGATGTTAAAAATAATAGACCAAGCCAGGAGCTAGTGGCTCACCCCCATAATCCTAGCTACTGAGGAGGCTGGATCTGAGGATTGTGATTCAAAACCAGCCAGGACAGGAAACTTTGAGACTCTTTGTCTCCCATTATCACAGAAAAAGCTGAAGTGGTGCTGTGGCTCAAGTGGTAGAAATGTTAGCCTTGAGCAAAAGGAGCTCAGAGACAGCACTCAAACCTAGAGTTCAAGCCCCAAGACTGGCAAAAAAAGAAAAAAGAAAAGACCAAAAATTGAGAAATAAGTATTGGGCTTAAATCTTGGTGCAGGGTGACATACATGGTACTCTCCCATGCTGAGCCTGTACTCTGGCACTGAGAACACCAATTTTTGCACAAAGTATCTCTCCCCTAAGATACTTACTAATTGTAAAGGGGGAATAGTATATTTACAGTTGAGGGAAAACATGGGAAAATGTATTTTAACCAAGCATTTACTGGCTAAAAATTTGCACATTATATATATTTTTTTTTTTTTGGTCAGTTGTGGGGCCTGAGCTCTGGGCCTGGGCACTGTCCCTCAGCTCGTCAGCTCAAGGCTAGTGCTCTACCACTTGAGCCACAGCACCACTTCCGGCTTTTTCTGCTTATGTGGTGTTGAGGAATAGAACCCAGGGCCTCATGCATGCAAGGCAAACACTCTACCACTGAACCACCTTCCCAGCCCCCACATTATATATTTCTAAGAAGTGTACTTACAAGCCACTAGCACCTGGCTTGAATCATTTTTTAACAGTAACAATGTCATCTTCCTGGTTGTAATTTATTTTGCCAGTCCTGGGACTTGAACACTCAGGGCCTGGACACTGTCGCTGAACTTCTTTTGCTAAAGGCTAGCACTCTACCAATTGAGCAACACCACCACTTCTGCCTTTTTCTGTGTATGTACTTCTGAGGAATCGAAGCCAGGGCTTTCTTTATGCACGCTAGGCAAGCATTCTACCACTTTCCCAGCCCTATTATTTGTTATTGGCATTTGAAAAAATTAGATGGAAGATATCAACATCCTTGGCTCCCCTTTTTTTTAAGTAAGTTGAAATCATTTCAAAATGTAAAAGGTTGAGACAATGGGGCCAGGAATGTGGCTTAGCAACAGAGCCGTGCTTCCTCTGAAGGCTCTCAGAGACTGATCCAGGCCTCCCTCCCAGCTAGGCTAGGCTGATACCCAGCTCAACTTCATATACTGCTGTCCTAGTGTGCAGTTCTGTGTTCAACCTCCCTTTATATGAAGTTACCAATCACATTGGATTGGGAGCAGGCAGAATGACTCTATTTAATCATGATCACTTGAGGTTCTAAGGGTCAGGTTCCAATATACCTTTTTTCCCCCCCTGGTCCTGGGACTTGAATTCTGAATTTGGGCCACTTCTGGCTTTTTTGAGTAGTTTATTGGAGATAAGAGTCTCACAGGGACTTTTCTGCCCCAATGGGCTTCAAACCGTGATCCTCAGTACCTCAGACTCCTGAGTAGCTAGGATTACATGTGTGAGCCACTGGTGCCTGGCTCCAATATACCTTTTTGAGAGGATACAATTCAATCTACAACAAAATCCACACCTTGGACTGGTCCTTCCTCAGGAGGTCTAAGCAAGGTTGGAGCAGAGCTTTATAACAAGTACTTAGAAAACTTTCCCTCAGTTGAGCATCGTAGCTCATGCCCGTAATCCTAACTACTCAGGAGACTGAGATCTGAGGATCAAAGTTCAAGGCCAGCAGCAGGAAGAAAGTCTGTGAAACTCTAATTTCCAGTTAACCACTAAAAAGTTGGAAGTGGAGCTGTGGATCAAATGGTAGTGATCCTTGAGCTCTGAAAAGCTAAGGGGCAGCATCCAATCTGAGTTCAAACCCCACTAATGGCAAGAAAAAAAAGCTTTCCCTGGGCCAGATATTCACCTCTGTAGGACAGAGGAGTCTCTGTGTGCTGAGGCAGATGGAGGATGATGGCAACAGGCGTGAACCCCCCAGGTGGGAACCTGTCATATTGACTCATGTGGGACTTAGGCTTATTTCTCTCAAGCCTGGAGCACAGCTTTTGTCATCAGTGGCGGCCTCTTTCAAGCCTGGCTCAAGTTTTTTCTTTTTTGTTTCCTTAGTTCAGAGTGAGCATAGAGCAGAGGGCCTATGGCATGGATGGGGAGATAGCAGGAAGTCAGACACCTGCTTTTCTGTAGACAGGCCAGCAATTCATAACACCCAGAAGGGATGGTGCAGGTACAGGTCTACACCCACCCTATGTTCACTGCTTTTAGAGAGCATCAGCTGCAAAAGAGGCAGAAGGAAGCCTGGGGCTGTGAACTATATGGGATTTATGGTTGGCCAGTGCTGGGGAATTCAGTTCCCAAGTGCTAGGGCTGAGGAAGATTTCGCTTGTCTACTGGCCCTCCAACCTACTCCTTTCTGCCATCCCTGGACTGCAAGATCCATAAGCTGACTATGCTTCTTTCTCATGAGTTCTTGGTGGCAGGAGGCTCTCCCTGTAACCAACACCCAAGTTCCATGCACATGAGCTCTCCTGCATCACAGTTGTCATACAGGACAGAAAGGCAGACACAGCATGTGACCCATAGATTTCCATAACCATGCATAGGAGTCTGTGACAAAAGGAGAAAATGCCTCATATGATTTGTTCCAATTCCACCATCACCGCTATACAAAGTAAGGACTTTGAAACACACTTACTTACCACAGCTCAACATTTTATTAACAATAGCTCACACTCAGGTTCAGATTCTTGTGAAGTCTTAACTCATCAAGGAAGATGGGAGATAGCAGGGGCTGGCCCAAAATGCACACCACCTACCTGGACAAGTAGGAATCTAAGAGCCCCAGTGTACATACAACCATCATTGCCCACAGGACTATCCAGTGCTCATGGGACCCTGGGTGTACACAGAACCACACAGCACACATGGGTCTACCCTCAAGACCATCAGTGCATGGGAGAACCCCTCAAATGTGTAGGACCACTGGCCCTCCAAAAAGGCTGTTGTTCTATAGTATAAATAAATCTTCTCTCAGCTGACTCCAATGACCATCTTTTTTGCAGAAGCAGGCCTGACTATGGGAATGGAAGCAGAGTTGTGTTCTATTTATGCATGCAGAAGAGGAAAAGCCCCACCTCAACTAAAGTATGGCCATGGAAGTCTACTGTCCACACTGGCCCTACAGCTTGGCTTTTCAGCCTTCTGGCTATGTCCAGTGGTGACAGTTAGCTCTGCAGCATGAACTCGTGGGTGGTGGTCTCCCAGCAGGAGGGGTCTTTGTCCAGCATGCTTCGTTCTGTAAAGGTCACCTGGCCATCTGCATCCACAAGGATGATGGTGTTGGTTCTGAAAGACAGCATTCTTCCCTTTATCCCCTGGCCCCAGTTGTACCTATTAGAGCTACAGCTGGGGCCACAACCTGGGTCCTGGGTAGAAATTCCACTCTGGCTTGAGATGGGTCATGACTGAGCAGCAGCCTCAGCCTTGACAATGTGGATGGGCTTAACAGAAGTGACTGGCTCCCTGCCTAGCTCCATGGACTTGCAGTGGGTAAGTCCAATCTACCTCTATTCTGAAACATCTCCAGCCTGTCCTGCCCACCCACTTGTTATTCACAGGGTAACCAATGAATCAACAGTGTACTCTCCACTCAAAACCCTCATAGTCCCAGATTTCCTGGCTATGCTCAGTTTTTCTAAGAGGTCAAGATCTCAGTCGCATCAGTGCCTAGATGTTTCTACCTAGAAAATTCCCTCTTGATCCCTCCCTTCCCTATAGCCTACGTGACTGGTTCACCCTAAACCTTCAGAGCACCCTCTTCCTCTCCTGCCCAGCTCTCTTCATGGTGGGTCATCAGGTTGTGACTTCCCTCTATCTCTTCTGGAAAGGTAGCCACATACAGGAATGAACAATCCACATGTAGGCATGCAACCTGTTGGCCTTGGAATGTCAATATCAGGCCATCTGCCAACAGGGGTTTGTCAACAGGAACATCCTTGATGCTGTCTTCCTTGTAGCTGTAGGTTGGCTTCCCTGCCAGCACAGGAGAGAACCTGGGGGTTTCACCTAGGCCTCAGGATCCTTGAGCCATGATGACCTACAGAAATCTTTAGGAGCTGGTAAACTAATAGTCTTTTAACTAACAGTCTACTTACCCCACTGCAGGAAGTCTGGACAGGGAAGAGGTTCTGGATCTACTCTGGTAAGAAAGATGCCTGCTCTACAGAGTATGGGTAAGCTTAGTACCTTTGCTATCTCCATCCTGAGAGGTAAGACATGGGAAGGGTGGGTAAATAACCCAACAACCCCAGCCCTGATGTACCTGGTGCCATAATTAGAGCCACGCACACAAACAGCTGCATACTTGTTCAGTATGGGCCGCACATACTCCTGGCCCTGGTCCTCAATGGCTGGGTCAGGCAGCTGTCTGGAAGGATAGAGGGAAGGGATGGCCATCAACCTCTCTGTTACATGACTGTGTAACTATGTGGCCCTGCCTTCTTTGCTAACAGTCTCAGGCTCCTTAGAGGCTTCTGGTCTGGAAAGTAGGAAAACATGAAAGTTGTTCACTTTTCTGCTCGACACCTTTTATCTCTTTCCACCCTGCTACTTAGGACTCCATCATTGAGTTTGAGCAGCTGGATGGCACATATGCTTTCTACTTGTTCCTGTGGACATCTGTCCTTGTGACTGCTGTCTACTTACACCCTGAAACTTGCCTGCCCCCACAATTGGCAAGAAAGTTATAGCCATCAAGGAGAGCAGCCAGGACCATCACAGGCCTGAGGACTATGTGATATGTAGCAGAACAGGTCTAGCAGGGCTCTCAAGGGGACTGGTGACACTGAGGCTGGAAGGTAAAGCCATGGTTCCAACACACAAAGGAAATGGAGGGCAAGTAGGGGCAGCAAAGAGCTGGTGGGGAGGGGAGAGCAACGGAATCCAGGGCTCCTCTGAGGATGAGATGAGCAAGCTAGTTGGAAGAGGGGATGGACAATGGATCATCTGGGCAGGAAAGTGACTAAGCCTGGATGTGTGGGCTGCATGTGGGGCAAAGGCCACCTTGATAAACACCAGGACCTTTGGTTGTGATGGGCAAGACATAAGAGCCCAGTATCTGAAGATGCTCTATGCAGAAGCAAGATGTTGGAGGCTCTTCTCTCCACAGGGATAGGTGTGTCCATGTCCAGTGATTAGACTCATGTAGAACAGCATGTGAGAACTTCTGCCAGCCCTTAGATCTGTTCTGACCTTGGCTGCTGGATCACCTGCTTCTTCTCTCCAAGGCTTGCTGAACATCTGAAATCTTCTACAATCTTCCACTCACCTTCCCTGTGCAGAAGGGAAACTCCAGCATCTCTGGTCTCATGTGAGTTTGTTTTTGTTACTGTTTTGTGTCAGTCCTGGGGCTTGAAGTCAGGGTCTGGGCATTGTCCCTGAGCTTCTTTTGCTCAAGGCTAGCATTCTACTACTTGAGCCACAGTGCCACTTCCAGCCATTTCTGAGTAGTGTATTAGAGATAAGAGTCCTGGGTAGCTTTAAACTGAGATCCTTAGATCTCAGCCTCCTGAGTAGCTAGGATTACAAGCGTGAACCACTAGTGCCTGGCTTTTCTTTGTGTGTGTGTGTGTGTGTGTGTGTGTGTGTGTGTGTGTGTGTGTTTTAAATACTGGTACTTAAATTCAGGGCCTAGGCACTATCCCTTAACTTTTTCACTCAAGGCTGTTGCTCTACCACTTGAGCCACAGTTCCATTTGTGATTCTTTGGTGCATAGTTGAAGAGTCTCACAGGCTTTCCTACCAGAACTGGCTTTGAATCACAATTTTCATATCTCAGCCTCCTAAGTAGCTAGGATGATAGAGAGGAACCATCAGCATGCCTGGCTTCATGTGAGTCTGTGTGGGACCTCTGAGAGCAATGAGGCTCCCAGAGCACAGGTCCCCGTCTGTCCTGTCTGTCATCATCAACGGTCCAGTAGAAACTCCCCTTGCCTGGCCAAGGAGAACAGGTGGGGGGGGGGGGGCAGATAGAGGAAAGTATATTAGTCAGGCTCCCCTGAAGCTGAGGAAACAACCCTGGTCACCTCCATGGGCCAGGGCCGTAAAATCTGCCTTCCTCTCTGCCCCAGTGGGACCTGCTACTTACGCTTCCTCATTGCTGAGCACGTCCAGGAGCTGGGCAACAAAGGCATCCTTGGGAAGTGTCTGGCTCTGCTCCACCACATCCATGAAGAGCTGCTTACCAAAGCATAGCTTCCTCCAGGGTGTCTCCAGCAGCGCATTGCTCAGCCCGTAGGTCCCTGAAGGGAGGGAGTCAGCCTGGCCATGCAGAGGCCCCATTGTGTGATTTTAGGGTAAATATCTGGCCTCCCACCTATTTACTGGCATGCAGTAAGGTGTCACAGGGGTACAAACAGGACTCAAAAACTGCCCTCCATGCTCAGGCACTGTTTTTCTTTTTGATGCCAGTACTGAGCCTTGAACTCAGGGCCTCATGCTCTTGCTTGGCTTTTTTTTTTTCCCAGTCATGAGGCTTGAACTCTGGGCCTGGGTGCTATCCTTTCACTCTTCAGCTCAAGGTGAGCACTCTACCGCTTGAGCTACAGCACCACTTCTGGTTTTCTAGTGGTTTATTGGAGATGAGTCTCAAGGACTTTCCTGCCTGGGCTGGCTTTGAACCGTGATCCTCAGATCTCAGCCTCCTGAGTATCTAGGATTACAGATGTGAACCACCAACACCCAGCTTTGCTTGGCTTTTAAATAATCAAGCCATACTTCCACTTCTGGCTTTTTATTGTTTATTGGAGATAAGAATCTAACAGACTTTCCTGCTTGGGCTGGTTTTAAACTATGCTCTTCAGATTTCTGCCTCTTGAGTAGCTAGGATTACAGCATGAACCTCCAGTACCTGGCAATGAGCACCTTCTTTATATCCATTCCTGACAGGTCTGTCTGAATAACATGGAATAAAGATTTCAACTTGGAAACAGGGATTATATCATAAAGTACAGATGCCTTGGAGCTTGGAAGGTCAGATTTTTTTTTTTTTGGTCGGTCGTGGGGCTTGAACTCTGGGCCTGGACGCTGTCCCTCAGCTCTTCAGCTCAAGGCGAGCGCTCTACCACTTGAGCTACAGCGCCACTTCCAGTTTTCTGGTGGTTTATTGGAGATAGGAGTCTCACGGTCTCTCCTGCCCGGGCTGGCTTTGAACCACGATCCTTCAGATCTCAGCCTCCTGAGTAGCTAGGATTACAGGCGTGAGCCACCAGCGCCCGGTGGAAGGTCAGATTTAACACAGGATGAATAACTTGAATTTTAATGGGCATCTCTTTTTAGTCAAGGGCTGCACACAGTAACTGGTGTCCAGAAAGGCACCTACCATGATAGAACTCAGTGGGCATTGACACTGACTGAGTAGAGTATGGCCCAGCTCTGCATATTGAATGAGACCCTGGCTGGGAGTAGATAGAGGGTCTCTGTGCAAGGACTCTGACCTATAGTTCTTAAAACAAGGAAGTTTCAGCACTGGTGCAGTGGCCAATGCCTGTAATTCCAATTACTAGGGAGATGGAAATGGAGAGGATTGTGGGTCAAGGCCAGCTAGGGCAAAAAAAGATGATGATATCTATCTCAAAAAGTCAGCCAGGCACAGTAATACATGCCTGTAATTATAGCCACTCAAGAGGCACAAGAAGGGGCTGGGAAGGTGGCTCAGTGGTAGAGCACTTGCCTTGCATGCATGAGGCCCTGGGTGCAATTCCTCAGCACCACATAAGCAGAAAAAAAAAAAAGCCGGAAGTGGTGCTGTGGCTCAAGTGGTAGAGCACTAGCCTTGAGCTGAAGAGCTGAGGGACAGTGCCCAGGCCCAGAGTTCAGGCCCCACAACCGGACCCAAAAAATAAAAATAAATAAATTCAAAAAAAAAAAAAGAGGCACAAGAAGATCAGGGTCTGAAGCCTGCTTAGGTGAAAGCATGAGGCCCTATCTAAAAAAATACTAAAGCAAAAATGACTTTAGGGAAGTGACCTAAGTGTCTGGTAAATCCTAGTACTGCTTACAAGAAAAAAAAAATCGGGGCTGGGAAGGTGGCTCAGTGGTAGAGCGCTTGCCTTGCATGCATGAGGCCCTGGGTTCGATTCTTCAGCACCACATAAGCAGAAAAAAAAAAGCCGGAAGTGGCACTGTGGCTCAAGTGGTAGAGCGCTAGCCTTGAGCTGAAGAGCTGAGGGACAGCGCCCAGGCCCAGAGCTCAGGCCCCACGACTGGACCCAAAAAAAAAAAAAAAAAAAAGAAAAAAAAAATCCACTAATCCATCAACTTGACTCCTAGGTATATGAAAATCAGTACATAAAAACTTGTAACGAAGCAGGCTACTACTCAGGAGGCTTATATCTGAGAATTGCAGTTTGAAGCCGGCCTGGGTAGGAAAGTCTAAGAGACCCTCATATCCAATTAACCACCAGAAAATTGAAAATGGAGCTGAGGCTCAAAGTGGTAGAGCAGTAGGTTTGAGTGAAAAAGCTCAGGGACAGCACCTAGGCCCTGAGTTCAAGCCCCACAACTGACCAAAAAAAAAAAAAAAAAAACCCAAAAAACTTGTAATAGCTTCACACAAGAATTATTTATAGGGGGGGTGGGGGGAGGAGGAATGTAGTTGTAGAGATGGGAGGGAAGGGATGGTAGGGGAAAAACAAAGAAGGAGGCAACAATGCTTGATAAGAAATTACCTTGCTCATGTGATTGTAACCCCTCTGTACAGTATTTTCACAATAAAAAAACTTATTAAAAAAAAAGAATTATTCACAGTAGTCAAAGGTGTACATCAGCTGGGCTCAGTGAGTCACACCTGTAATCCTAGTTACTTGGGAGGCAGAGATCTTAGGATCACAGTTCGAAGGCAGTCTGGGTAGTTAAGTCCATGAGACTCCAATTACCACCAAAAAGCTGTGGCTCAAATGGTAGAATGACACCAGGCTTGTACAAAAGAAGCTGAAAGACAGCACTCAGGCCCTGAATTCAAGCCCCAGGATTAGTGCACTTGCGTTCCTGTACGCACACCCACCCACACACACACACAAAGTACCCATTAATAGATGAACAAAAACAAAATGTATATCCCCTATGGCATAAAAAGAAAATATTGATTGATGAATCTTGAAGACATTAAGCTAACTGAAAGAGGTCAAAAGTCAGTTTCTAAGATCACAGTATGATTCCTTTTGTGTGACATGTTCACAATTGGCAAATCCATAGAGACAGAGTCAGGTTGCCAGGTGTTAAGGAGGAAAGAGAAATGGGAACATGTGCTCTAGGGTTTGGAGTCCTTTGGCAGATGATGACAAGGTTCCGGAATAAGAAAGTGGTGATGGCTATACAACATTGTGCACACACTAAAACCAACTGAATATGGGTGTATTATACAGCATGTAAGTCCTAGCTCAATAAAGCCATTATTATGCTGAGCATCTAGTTACTCAGGAGGCTGAGACATAAGGATCTATGATCAATGCCAGCTCAGGCAAGGACCAGAGCCAGTGTTCTGAGGTTCACATTCCCAAGACACCACCAGTGAAGATTGGCCAGTGCAGTGAGTTGGGGAGGACAGAGGGGACAGCAGAGCCCACCTGCAGAAGGCACAGCCTGGGCAAAGGTGTAGCAAGAAGGGAAAAAAGCCAGGAGCCAGTGACTCACGCCTGTAATCCTAGCTACTCAGGAGGCTGAGATCTGAGGATCATGGTTCAAAGCCAGCCCGGGCAGGAAAGTCCGTGAGATTCTTATCTCCAACAAACCACTAGAAAACCGGAAATGGCACTGTGGCTCAAGCGGTAGAGCGCTCGCCTTGAGCTGAAGAGCGCAGGGACAGCGCCCAAGCCCAGAGTTCAAGCCCCACGTCCAACCAAAAAAAAGAAAGAAGGAAAAAAGATCCAAGGCAGATCGTTCTTGGGTGCAAAGGGAATGAGGAAGCAAATCCCCATGGACATGGGCCAGTGTGCAAGAGACACACATTTATGAGAGCTGGAGTGTGGTGTATATGTGTGTTGGGAAGCAAGTCCAAGGAACAGCTCCAGCCCCAGGTGGTGACAGCCCCAAAGACACAAAGAAAGGAAGGCAAAGACAGGGCTGCAAAGTCGGGTAGTAGGACTAAGTCAGGGAGTTCAGAGCAGGTTAGAGTCTTACTCTGTAGGAAAAGCTCATAGGAAGAAGAGGGAGCATGTGGAACTCTCTTGTGGGCAGCTCCAGGCCCCAGTCCTATACAAACCGCCAAAGACATACAATGGCTAAAAAGTACAGTCTCAGGAGAACAATGCAATAGGGGCCTGGTCTCTGAAAAGTACTCTGTATATCCCCTACATATTAGCAGCACGACCCTGTTGGGTTTCTAGAGCAGGCTCACCTGGTGTTAGGACAATGGGCTCTGGGTCTCCCCGGTTTCCATAGTAGCAAACAACATCTCCTTTTGTTGTGCTGTGGATAGGAGAGAGAGAAGGTCAAATGGGAGCTACAGGCATCCTATGCCCAGTGCTGCTCACGGATCTCATAGCTCTGTTTCTGAGCCCTAGCTGGTGGCAAGCACAAAACAAGAACACTTTAGCTGGCTGGGGGACTGAAAGGCTGGGTCCAGAACTCTGGATCCTTTCCAGCATCACAGGTATATTCCTAGCTCACCAGCCTAAGAAGCAGCAGCATGAGAAAGACCCTATGGCAAAGCTGGTTTCTTCACAGGTACAGCCACTGCCCTCCTGCTCATCTCTGCCATCAGCTGCCCTGACTTGTGGGATATTCTGGCCACTGTCTGCATCTGCCCTTACAGGCTCCAGGAGTCAGAAGAGCTGCTCAGATCTCCCAGAAGCCAAACTTCAGAAGCTGCCTGTCCATACTTGCCTATGCAACCCCCCAGCCACTCCAACATGGCTACTAAGCACCCAGCCCCACCAGCATCACAACTGCTGGTCCAGTCCCCTGCAGCTAGGCCTGGGACAGACATACAGAAACTACTGGTGGTTCACAGTGGTCCAAATCTAGAGAGTAGTGATCTGGCCTCCAGAGAGCCAATGTTGTTGACAGCTCTAGCCCTAGGTCTTCCTCTTGTGGGACACAATCACTCACTCAGTTTTCACAGTAAGGAAATCTCTTCATGTAGTACATGGGTGGGACAGACACAATGGATGCTCAAGGCGCAGTGGACCTGAGGTTTGCAGGCCCAGAGGCCCATGGAACAGCCCTTATGTCCAAGATAGATGCATGCACTTGGGCTACCTGAAGGGAACAAACTGCCTGCCTCTCTCTTGTACATTGGGGAGAAAGACCATGGGCTAGGAGCAGTTACTCTCTTCTGAGTATTAGTGGAAGGACAGGGAGCCAGAAGTGAGGAGGACAGGAGGAAAGGCAGATGCTCACCTCACTGAAAGGCCAAACAAATATACAAAACCTCTGCTGTGGGCTGGGAATGTGTCTTTGTGGCAGAGTGTTTGCCTAGCATACATGAAGCCCTGGTTTCGATTTCTCAGTACCATATAAACAGAAAAAGGTCAAAGTTGCACTTTGGCTTAAGTGATGGTATGTCAACCTTGAGCAAAAGAAGCTCAGGGGGGGCTGGGAAGGTGGCTCAGTGGTAGAGTGCTTGCCTTGCATGCCTCTGAGGCCCTGGGTTCGATTCCTCAGCACCACATAAGCAAAAAGAAAAAAGCCTGAAGTGGTGCTGTGGCTCAAGTGGTAGAGCACTAGCCTTGAGCTGAAGAGCTGAAGGACAGTGCCCAGGCCCAGAGTTCAGGCCCCACAACTGGACCCCCCCCCCCAAAAAAAAAAAAAGAAGCAGCAGCTCAGGGACAGTGGCTAGGCCCTGAGTTCAGGCTCCAGAACTGGCAAAACCAAAACAAGCAACAACAAAAAACACCTCTGCAGTTCCTGTGGCTACATCTTGTTAATAGGAGTCACCTAGAGCTGGGTGTTAGTTGTTCACACCTAAAATCCTAGCTATTCAGTAGGCTGAAATCTGAGTAGCAGGATTTGAAGCCAGCCTGGGCAGGAAACTCCATGAGACTCTTATTGCCAATAAACTACTCAGAAAAAGCCAGATGTAGTGCTCTGGTTCAAATGGTAGGGTGCTAGCCTTACACACAAAGAGGCTCAGGGACAGCACTCAGGCCCTGAGTTCAAGCCCCAGGACCACCAAAAAAAATAGAAAAAAGTCCATCCAGCTGGGTATTGGTGGCTCATGCCTGTAATCTTAGCTACTCAGGAGACTGAGATCTGAGGATCAGGATCATGGTTCAAAGTCAGCCCAGGCAGGAAATTCCATGAGACTTCAATTAACCACCAAAAAACAGTAAGTGGAGCTGTAGCTCAAAGGGTAGAGCACTAGCCTTGACCACAAAAGCTTAAGGACAGTGCCCAGGTTCTGAGTTCAAGCCCCATGACCGATATACACACACACAAAATAAGTCACCTGGGAGCACATTTTTGTCAGAGCTTCCCCAGGCTGTTTTACAGAACTCCAGGACAGGAAGGGAATGGACACCTGACTGATCAGTGATTGGACGGGTAGAGTTCTGCTTGTCAATGAGATGGAGACCTGGCCCTCAAGGCAGTGCCGACTAGGGCAGCCATCCACCTCCTGGCAGACCCACCTTAAGTCAGCTGCTATGAGGTTGAATCCATTGTATAGGTGACCTTCAGCAGAGACCTTCTTCAGGTAGGACAAGCTATCCATGTCAGCAGTCAGAAAGTGGGATACAAGTTTACCTGAGGGCAAGGCACACACACGAATGACTAAAAACAGAAAACTCTTTCTCTCTCTCTTTCTCTCTCTCTCTCCCCCACCCTACTCCCTCTCTCCATGGGAAGAATGGAGTGGGGCTCCTAGGGACAATACAGAAAGAAGAGAAGTCCCATTGGAGACCCCACATCTGAGTCAATCACACTTCATTGACCAATTCATAGACCATGATGGAGGATAACATTAAGAATTCTTCCTTTCTCTTTCTCTTTTTCCCCTTCCCTTATTCTTTTTTCCCTTTTTTTTTTTTGTTCTGCTACTGGGGCTTGAACTGAGGGCCTCAAGTTCTTGCTTAGCTTTTTCATTCAAGGCTGGTACTCTACCACTTGAGCCATATCTCCATTTCTAGCTTTATGGTGTTTAACTGGAGGTAAATCTCTCAGATTTGTCTGCATGGGGTGGCTTTGAGCCAAGATCCTAAGATGTCAGCCTCCTGAGTATCTTTCTTTCTTTTTGGTTTACCTATTTCTTTCCAGGTAGAAGGTATAGTTTAGTGGTACTGTTTGTCTGGAACGCTTGAGGCCCTGGGTTCAATCCCCAGCATGGCAAAAATAAGCAAACCAACACCCTCCATTATACTTCTATGTGGAAATCCAACATGAGAAAAAAATTCAGAAAAGGAAAAAAAGAAAATTTTAGCAGGGGTAGGAATGGGGGCATGGCGCAAGTAATAGAGTGTTTACCTAGCAAGTAAGCATAGACCTTTGACTTCAAGCCCTAGTACTATCCAAAAAAAAAAAAAATGGTGGGACAGTATGTGTTTACAGAGCTGTCCCTTTCAGGATAGGCTGGGGCTGGGAGCCACATACCTGTAATCCTAGCGACTCAGGAAGCTGAGACTTGAGGATCAAGGTTGACAGCCAACCAGGGCAGGAAACTGTATGAAATTCTTATCTCCAATTAACCACTAAAAAGCCTGAAGTGAACCTGTGGCTCAAAGTGATAAGAGTGCTAGCCTTGAGTAAAAAGGCTCAGAGTCAATACCAAGGCCAAGTTTGAGACCTAGGACTGGCATTAAAAAAAAAAAAGGATCTGCAGGGGACAATAACCCAGCAGTCAGGAATGTCACTCTGGGAGTACCAAGCTTATAGCTCCCTTCTGACTGTTCTTTGCTCTGCCATATGCCCCTGAGGCAGTTGAAGAAGGATGGGATGTACCAGCAAAAGCCATGGCTGGAGGCTTACTGTTCCTGCCCCTCTACTGTGCCCCTACTTCGCCTCATACCTCTACCACGAGCTTCACGGTTCTGCTGTGGCTGCAAGTAGTTGGTGAGGGCTCCCAGCTTCCCCCTCATGCTGATACCTAACCATGTGCCTCCTTCCTTGCCTTCTTCCATGTCAAGCCCTGTAGTAAGAGACAGAGTTACCAACATATGATGGGTTCTATACTTGCTGTGATTCCCATCCCCATCCCATCCCTTGGGAGAATGGTGTTCTCCATAGGACACAAGGATATACAGCTTGCTTAGCAGAGACAGGGGCTCCAATTCCTCAATGCAAGGCAGTCCCTGGGGTACAACAAGGCATGCAGGGGATATTCCCACCTCACAAGACAACACAAGCACCAACCATGCCTATCCAATGCCAACAGGAGGCCATGAAACCCAGTGGTCCACATATGGCTTCTACAGAACATACCATACATTTAGGAGTGTTGGGGGCTGGGAGATAGCCATAGCCTCTCTTAGGAACTCCACCCAGCTACTTCTGGCTAAAAAGGGTAATTTGTTTCTTTGTTTTAGACAGGTTCTCACTGGTCACTGTTGGCTTATGCCTGTCATCCTAGCTACTTGGGAAGTTGAGATTCAACAATCTCTGTTCAAAGCCAGTCCATGAGACTCGTATTTCCAAATAACCACCAGAAAACTGGAAGTGGAGCTGTGGCTCAAAATGGTAGAATGCTAGCCTTGAGCAAGAAAAAAAAAAGCTCAGAGCTGGGACTGTGGCTAAATGGTAGAGTGCTTGCCTAGCATGCCTGAGGCCCTGGGTTCAATTCCTCAGCATCACACAAGCAGAAAAAGCCAGAAGTAGCACTGTGGCTCAAGTGGTAGAGTGCTAGCCTTGAGCTGAAGAGCTGAGGGACAGCGCCCAAGCCCAGAGTTCAGGGCTCACAACCAGCAAAAAAAAAAAAAAAAAATTAATTTGAGTGAAATCGTAAGACACTCCCCCAAATCAAAATGCTTCAACAGAGAAAAATAGTTATTACCTTAGCAGAGGTAAAGGCTTTTTGAGTAAGACACAGAAAGCATAAATGATAAAAGTAGAAAAACTGCAATTGGTTCAATTAAAAATATTCTGGTCACCAAAAGATATCAATAAGGAAATGTGTAGGCAGTTAATTTATCCAATAAAGAACTCATCTGGAATGCATAAACAAATCCTATGAATCAATAACTTCAAAAATGAATGATGAGCCTTTACTATCTAGCCAAGTAACAATATCTAGACTTTCCCTCTTGTATAAAACCACCAAGATAAACTAGGGGAAGCTGGGAGCAGGTAGCTCACGCCTGTATTCTTAGCTACTCAAGAGGATGAGATTGGAGGATTACGACTCAAAGCCAGTTTGGGGAAGGAAAAGCCATGTGACTCTTTTTTTTTTTTTTTTTGGGGTGGGGGGTTCTGGTCGTGGGCCTGAACTCTGGGCCTGGGCACTATCCCTCAGTTCTTCAGCTCAAGGCTAGTGCCCTACCACTTAAGCCACAGTGCCACTTCTGGCTTTTTTTTTCTGCTTATGTGGTGCTGAGGAATCAAACCCAGGGCCTCATGCATGCAGGGCAGGCACTCTACCACTGAGCTACCTTCCCAGCCCCAATGTGACTCTTATCTCTAAATAACCACCTAAAAACCAGAAGTAGAGCTGTGGCTCAAAGTGGTAGAGTGCTAGCTTTGAGCATAAAAGCTTAAGGACAGCGCGCAGACCCTGAGTACAAGATCCATGACTGACCAAAAAAAAGAAAAAAAAGAAAAGAAACAAAACTGTGAGAAAACAGAGTTTAAGATCCAAGATCTGAGAAACAAGTATTAAGGTGAGGGCTGGGAATGTGGCTCAGTGATAGAGTGCTTGCCTAGCATGCATTAAGCCCTGGGTTTGATTCCTCAGTACCACATAAAACAGAAAAAGCCGGAAGTGGCACTATGACTCAAGTGGTAGAGCTCTAGCGTGGAGGAAAAGAACCTCTGGGACAGTGCCCAGGCCCAGAGTTCAAGCCCCAGGACGGACGGATGGAAGGAAAGAAGGAAGGAAGGAAGGAAGGAACGAAGGAACGAAGGAAGGAAAGAAGCAAGCAAGCAAGGAAGCAAAAGGGAGGGAAAGAAAGAAAGAAAGAAAGAAAGAAAGAAAGAAAGAAAGAAAGAAAGAAGAAGGAAGGAAGGAAGGAAGGAAGGAAGGAAGGAAGGAAGGAAGGAAGGAAGGAAGGAAGGAAGGAAGGAGAGAGAGAGAGAGAGTGAGGGAGGGAGGGTGGGAGGGAGGGAGGGAGGGAGGGAACAAGCAAGCAAGCAAAGCAAGCAAGCAAGCATTAAGGTGAGCTCCACAGTTAGAATCCTTAGGATGCAGCAAGGGAAAATGGGAGACCCAGGCAGAAGCTGACCAGGCACCCTGAGGGATGCTGAGGCTGAGAGTTCAAGAGAAACTGAAGAAGTCAGCACTCATAAGACTCAAGATAAGGGCAGGGAAGGTGGCTCAGTGGTAGAGTGCTTGCCTTGCATGCTCAAGGCCCTGGCTTCGATTCCTCAGCACCACATAAGCAAAAAGAAAAAAGCCGGAAGTGGCGCTGTGGCTCAAGTGGTAGAGCACTAGCCTTGAGCTGAAGAGGTGAAGGACAGTGTCCAGGCCCAGAGTTCAGGCCCCACGACCGGACCCAAAAAAAAAAAAGACTCGAGATAAGAGAGGAGAGAGCTTTACCCAGGGATCCTATCAGCACATAAGTGTACGGAAATTGAAACTTGTAATCCCTGGGGCACTGGGTAGGTACTGAGGATCACAAACACCTCAGAAATAGACAATAATTAGCCCTAGATTGGGCACACAACTCTTGCCACTGATCTCTTCCTCCTCCTCCTCTTCTCCTTTTCCTTCTGAATAGGAAGCATTTACTAGGCAGGTGCTTTACCACTTAAGCCACACTTCCCATCCCTGTTGCTTTATTTTTCAAGTAAACTCTCTAGTTTTTGCCTGGATCTCAATTCTATTTATAGTCTCCTGAGTAGCTGGGATGACAGGCACATTCTACCATGATAAGCTTATTAAGATAGGGTCTCATGAACTTTTTGTCCAGGCTAGTCTCAAACCTCAATCCTCCTGATCTCTATTAAGTACTTGAAATTATAAGTGTGAGACACCATGCTTGGCCTCACACCTGATGAATCTTAAACAGAAGACCTAAATAGATCAATCCATCTCTTACTAATTCATCTCCATCCAGAACTACGTTTAATGAATGACAACATTTCTAGGAATACACAATATACCTCATACAAGTCTTCTGCACCTCAAATGTAGCCCACAATCCATGGAGTAAATGGGTATCTAAGTAGAAGCATGAATGCAGATATGAAAACACACATGTATATGCACCCCTGTTTAGGATCTTGTAAAGTGACCCCAGCATGGCAAGGGAAGCCATAGGAACAGGACTGGGTAGACAGCTCCAAGAACACTCAAGTGCTAGAGCATTTACCGGAAAGCAGGCCATATTTAGTACTGCCCAAGTAGGGTTCAGGTGGGATGGTGCTAAGGGGCAGACTTACCACTGAGGACCTCATTGTTGCTCCCCCAGAAGTCTGCCAACTTGGCTGGTCTGTGGTAGAATTCATCCCTGTTGGCGGCCAGGATGAACCTGGGAGAAAGAAGCAAGCATGACAAGCTGTGTCGGATGAAAAAAAGAAAAAAACAAAACCCAACCGAAAAACCATCACCCATGTGCTATGGGTGATACCTCCACAGAATTCTCTCCTGTCAATCATGTAAAATTTACAGTAGGGGCAACATGGAACATTCCAAAGAGAACAGGGACCACCAAGGAAACCATTTCAGAGCACCTGCCCACCTGGCTTTTGTACAGAGGCAGGTCTCTATGGCTTAGCACTAAGAAATGAGTCTATAGGAGCCAGGCTACACTCAGGCCCCATCTACCCTGATAGGGCTAAGTTAATGGCAGGCTGGGTGGTTGAGGTGCCACTAAGCACACCCTGGGAGCCAAAGCAGTCCCTCCTCCTGTCCACTGGGTGCTGGTGGCTCCTGCCTGTAATCCTAGCTATGCAGGAGGCTGAGGTCTGAGGATGAGGATCAAGGCTCAAAGCCAGCCCAGACACTCTTATCTCCAATTAGCCACCTAAAAACCAGAAGTGGAGCTGTGGCTCAAAGTGGTAGAGCACTAGCTATGAGTAAAAAAAAAAAAACTCAGAGACAGTGTCCAGGCCAAAAAATAAAAAAAATTAAAAAAAAAAGCAAGATGGTGGGCTTCTTAGAAATGGAGCACGACACCAAAAAGAGCTGAAGGGTAACAGTACATGGGGTCTCAGAGAACTGTTTCATCTTTTTTCTTTTTCTTTTTTTTTTGTGTTACTACGGATTGAACTCAGAGCCTGGTGCTTGCTAGGCAGATGCTCTACCACCTAAGCCACTCCATCAGCCCATTTTTGTGTTTTTATTTTTATTTCTTTGCCTGTCCTGAGGCTTGAACTCTGGGCCTGGGTACCGTCCCTGAGCTCCTTTTGCTCAAGGCTAGCACTCCACCACCTGAACCACAGTGCCACTTTTGGCTTTTTCTAAGTTTATTGGAGATAAGTCTCACAGACTTTTCTTAACTGGGCTAGCTTAGAACCATTATCCTCAGATCTCAGTCTCCTGAATAGCTAGGATTACAGGTGTGAGCCACTGGCACCTGGCTGTATGTGGTTTTTTGGTTTGTCAGTTTGGTTGGTTGGTTTTTGTTTGTGGGGCTTGAACTCTGGGCCGGGGCGCTATCCCTCAGTTCTTCAGTTCAAGGTGAGTACTCTATCACTTGAGCCACAGCACCACTTCCAGTTTTGTTTTGTTTTTTTTTCCTGGTGGTTTATGGGAGATAAGAGTCTCACAGACTTTCCTGCCCAGGCTGCCTTTGAACCACGATCCTCAGATCTCAGCCTCCTGAGTAACTAGGATTACAGGTGTAAGCCACCGGTGCCCAGCTGTGTTGGCTATTTTTGAGATAGAGACTCACTTTATGTCCAGAACAGCCTAGACTGCGATCCTATTTATGCTCCCCCTTGTCACTGTGATAACAGGCATGTACCACTGCAGACACTGATAGAAATAGTTTCAAGAACCTGATTCCTACCTCCCAAGTACCTAGGATTACAGGGTGGAACCACCACACCTTCCCCATCCTGTTTTATGTTTTGTAGGAGGTAGATATGAGACTGGGGACTGGCTCAAGCTCTCTTGGGTCTTGGGTAGAAGCATCATTGTCTTATTTATTTGTCCTTCCCAACTTCCTACTATAGTTGTTCTTTGACCAGTGCGCACAGCTAGTTCTAGGACTCTAGCATGGAGCTGCCTGGGATGTCACCAAGGTTAGTGAAACAAGTCTAAGCTACTCGTGAAATAGTTCTCTGTACCTCCAGCTGGCAAGTCCCAACCCAAACCCTAACTTTCATCTTCCACTATTGCTGTTGTCACTTCTGGACAGAAGTGCTCCCAACTCTTCAGCAGGGACAGCAGTAGCAGAGCTGCCTTCCTCAAATCCAATCCCCATTTTGCTGGTACCATTTCAACAGGTAGCACATCTGCATCTGGGCCTGCACTGGTCACTCTATGCTTCAGCCAGGGCCTGTGTGGTAGTCAGGAGGGAGACCTAATACCCAAATAGGAAGAGAAATGAGATGCAGTGACAACCCCGCAGGGGCTGGAAGTGCTGAATACCTACCCCAGGGGTGAGAGTCAACTCTCACGTGGTCCTGGTTCAAGAGTTCTTTTTTTTTTTTTATGCTGGTCCTAGGGCTTGAACTTAGGGCCTAGACACTGTCCCTGAGCTTTTGTGTTCAAAGCTAGTACTCTACCACTTGAGCCACAGCTCCACTTCTCTTGGTAGTTAATTGGAGAGAAGAATTTTCACTTGCTTGAGCTAGCTTTGAATTATGATCCTCAGATCGCAGCCTCCTGGGTAGCTAGGATTATAGCATGAGTCACTGGTGCAGGCTATTTGGGGGGGGGGGGGGGCGTACGGTCGTGGGGCCTGAACTCTGGGCCTGGGCGCTGTCCCTCAGCTCTTCAGCTCAAGGCTAGCACTCTACCACTTGAGCCACAGCACCACTTCCAGCTTTTTTCTTTTTGCTTATGTGGTGCTGAGGAATCGAACCCAGGGCCTCATGCATGTAAGGCAAGCACTCTACCACTGAGCCACCTTCCCAGCCCAGGCTATTTTTTTATTTGGTGCCAGTATTGGGGCTTAAACTCAGGGCCAGCAGTCTGTCCCTTAGCTTTTTTGCACAAGACTGGCACTCTACCATTTGAGCCACAGTTCCACTTCCAGCTTTTGTTAGGTAACTGGAGATAACAGTCAGACATTTGCATACAGAATGGCTTCAAAATTTGATTCTCAGATCTTAGCCTCCTAAATAGCTAGTATTACAGGCGTGAGCCACCAGCATCTGATATTAAGTGTTCTTTCTTGAATACTGAAGCTCCTTCTCAGCTCCCTGACCTAAGAGTAAGTGGGGGAAGAGGCTATGAGGCCCCTGTTTACCAATCCCAGTGTTCCCAAGGAAGCCATTGAGCTCCGCTACCCAAATCCAGGTTGGGGCTGTCAGGAGCTGTTGGCTTCATGAGCTGATTATACAATGCCCCAGCAAAGGAAAAAAAAGAAAGAAAAGAAAATGAAAGAAAAGATGATTAAGCCGGGCGCTGGTGGCTCACGCCTGTAATCCTAGCTACTCAGGAGGCTGAGATCTGAGGGTCGCGGTTCAAAGCCAGCCTGGGCAGGAAAGACCACGAGACTCCTATCTCCAATAAACCACCAGAAAACCAGAAGTGGCGCTGTAGCTCAAGTGGTAGAGCGCGCGGCTTGAGCTGAAGAGCTGAGGGACAGCGCCCAGGCCCAGAGTTCAAGCCCCATGACCGACAAAAAAAAAAAAAAGAAAAAAGAAAAGATGATTAAGCAGCACCTTCTATTCTAAGATATTTAACTACCTATTTTTAAATAAAGAATGTGTTTGCCTAATATCAGGAACATTAGTTGATGGATTATTTTTGTCTTAGGAGTTGCTGTTTGGTTGAATTGCCAATGGTTTGCTGGTGTTTTCATTGAAGATGTAACTCAGTGCTGAGCAGGTTCAATACCTACATGGAGCTCTTGGTGAGAAGTGGAAGTACTTCTCCTAGCCAACACATGGGGGCGCTGCAGTGCAGATGAAAGTTCATCTGTGCCCAGTGCTCAGGGACATGACTTGGAGTGGCACAAGTCACCCACTGCCTGTTTTGTCCTACTATGTGAAAACACTGACTAACCACCACAACCAGGCACTGACTGCTGGAGTGTGTGTGTACCATCTAAGGGTGAGTAGTACACCATGTGGGGTGGTTTGGCAACAGGTAGCATGTACTCTGTGCTCTGATTGCTGATGACCCAGCCATCAGACTCTGTGAGAACTCACAGTGGCCACAGGAAGCAACTGCTTATCCAGCAACTACTCCAGATTGTAGCCAACAAGGGAGAGTAAAAAAAAAAGTTTTGATATACTGGGTAATGTTGCTGTGTGCCTGTGATCTCAGCTACTTGGAAGGTGAAGTTCAGGGGATCGCTATTCAAAGCCAGCATGGACATAAATATGAGATTCCATCATCAAAACCAATGGCTGGGCACGGAGGCATGTGTCTGTCATCCCAAGTGAAACAGGGAAACATAAATAGGAGAATCTATACCCAAGCTATCTTGGGTATAGAGTAAGATACCACCTCAAAAACAGCCAATGCAAACAGAGATCAAAATAACCAATGTAAAAATAACCTCAGGATCTATAATATTTTGTGTCTTTATTTCAAAGACAAATAGGTAAAATTCAGTCAATTTTAACTCTCCAAATATTCTCAGAATTATCATACTCATCCTTCAGCTAAACAAGCATACACAGGGTCTGTCATTGGGGATTCACATCTGTAATCCAAGCTACTCAGGAGGCTTAGACCAGAGGATCATGGTTCAAAGCCAGCCCAGGAGAGACAAGTCTATGAGACTCTTACCTCTGATTAACTACCAAAAGCTATAAGTAGAGTCATAGGCTCAAGTGGCTTTTTTTTTTCTTCAGCAGAAAAGCCAAGTGAGGGCTTAAGGCTCAGCAAAACAAAAACAAAATACACACACATAGTTGATCATTTATTGGCCACAACAAAATCCCTGTGCTGGAAGATAAGAGCAATTAACAAGTCCATGCGCTAAGGGTGACAGCACCTCCATGGATGAACACTTCCTCTTCATAGACCAAGTACAACTGAGAAAGGGCCGTGTTGCCTTTCATTCACTCAAATGCCTGGATTTCAATTTTACAAACAACCAAAATCCCAAAGTTTATTTGGAAAGGTAACTGTGTGTTCCACGGAGCTAATTTAATAACTTCCAACACAACCTCTAGGAATCACATGCAGTTCTAAACCATGCTTTAGAAAAATATCTAGCCATCTGTGCTGGATTTAGTCCTATTCTATTAATTATTGGCAGCATTTGGGTTTGGACTCGGGGCCTTGCAAGGTAAGTGTTCTATTATTCCATTCACATCCCTGGCCATTTTTCCTTGTTTGCTTGCTTTATTTATGCCAGGGCCAGCCATAATTGCTTGCTTGCTTGATTTATTTATTTATACT